TGTATTCTTACTGATTTTGCACCATTGCCTATTATTGTGCACACAAACGACTGATTCAAGTGCTAGGGTGTAACCATAGCAATTTCTATTGTAAGATCTTAAGCGAACACAGTAATCCGAGCTGCAGTTCATATTAAGCTACGTAAACTGATAGCAGTGAGTGGCTTTCAACCAAAATAATCATTTAGCTTCACAATCAAGTTGAGAAGCAGCATGCTGCTTGCTTCCATTCCCTTTGACTGTACAAGGTGGGGAACGGACCAGAGAAATGTGACAGTAGCCGAGACATCTGCATCTAGTCTTTCTCTGTAGTAACGGGGCTCCTAGCTCCCTGGGCTTGCAGTAAACATCTTTCAGTTTTCCTCAGCCTTCGATCTACAGTATGAACGAGGGAATGGGTTCTGGCTAGGCTTAACTACATTTGTATATGAATGCATTTTATATATCTACTTCCATATATTCATTTTCCCATCACTTCATGACATTTTGAGCTTTTTAATGGCCTGTTAGATGCTCTGGCCAAAGGAGAAAACGTTTAAGCAGCTTTTCACGAACCTGGAATTTATAGGAGTTTAAAAACAGGAGGTTTGCAGTGGTGAGCCAGAACTGAGCGCTCACACTTGTTTGTGAAAATGCACATAAATAGGCAGTAATGGAAAGAAATAGCATCTTAGGGGTCATTTCCTACAAGGAAAGTAAGATTGCAATGCAAAGGAAGTCAGTAGTTAAAGCATGAAATACGGAGCGCAGTAAACACAGAGATGACCTTTACTGTTACGCCCAAATGACCTCAATCTTCCTTCAGAGGTGTTCTGAAAAAATACTTTAAAATTTATGTCTTCCACTTCCTAATAGTTTTTCCAGCTGATTTTTTTCCAAATTGCTGTCCTTTAGACAGTGACCTTTTAACCCTGGTAGGCGATTGTCTAACAAAAAAAAAAGTACAGTCGCGCTGTTTATATACAGCCGTCTTAAGACTGGACACGGCTCGTAAAGTCATTGTCTTGAAAGGAAGCCGTGGATGTAAATACTGTAAACTGGGAGATCGTGTGCTGGGGTCCTGTGGAGACTGTAAACTTGCAGTTAGAAGGTCTGACATAAAGGCTGGAATAAATTATGGGCCGATTGTGGGCAGGTTCCCCTCCTTCCAATGATGACTGGATACAGCACAAGTAATGTTTAGATAAACTGAACAAGAACACAAGTTCCAGTTAGAACCTTCCACTGTGTCCTCACCTCCACACTCCTCCTCTGAAATGCATGCCCATCATGCACCATGGGTTTCATTAGTGAAGAGTGACATACAAAGTGTTGATTGTTTTCCTTCTGCGTATTTTTTATATCATTCGATTTAATTTGGACCCTGACGGACATGTGTGATGGATTGATTTAACAGAAAAATGTGACACTTGTTAAGAATCTTCCAGACTCTTGAAAAAAGGAGAATTGTCAACCTTGAGCTTCCTGTTAAATAAGACAACGCATGTTTTACAGAATCTCCAGTCACATTATTTGCAGGATGACTTTGACCTAATACGTAATGCAAAAATGTAAAATATCACTTTATGAGACACGTTGGTTTTACAGTAGGAGCATTAGGAGTTCTGAAGTATTGGCTGCATATAAATAGCCCCAGTGGCCAGATTTCAACCCCAGAAAGAAATTCCAAGGGATTAATATGATATATGTAGCTCTTGAACTTGCAGGACTTGGTGTATTGTGAGTTATTTACAACACGATAAAGATCTGGACTTGGAGCAGGCTTGATTTCAACATGGAAAATCCATTCAGCTGAGCGATGTACCTTTTAGTGAAAAGATAACTGGATCAGATGCAAAATGCTAAAAAAAAGATATGTATATCTTCATAGCTGTAGAAAAAATAAACCTAACCAACTGCCCAAGAAGGCAGTTCCTATTAAGTAAGACCATCTATAGTGATGGTATTCTGCACTTAAAAGAAGAGAAGGTGAATTTCTTATCCTTGAGAGTCCAGTTCTCGGTAGTGGGGTATGTGTGTTTTGTAGGAAACATTGCGATAGAAGAAAGCACATGCTATGATCTGAGTAGCAATGTGGTTCAGTTATTTTGTAGTAAAGGACACCAGCATGGTAACAGGAAGTGAGTACTCTTAAATAATAAGTTTATTGCTATTATGAGTAATATGGTGAGTGTTACTGCTCCTGTTTCTCCTAATCTGCTGTTGTGTGTCTCATGCTCTGTTCATATCCCTGTATTTCATGATTAGGTGTGAGAATCCTTTTTCTCATGGCTTTGACTTTGGATTGGATTATCAAAAGAGCTGTGATTGGTACATTTCCACTGGATTTTAAGGAATGAACGAGGAATGCAGCTGTCAAGAGAAACCAGTATTCACATGGCCATCCTTCATGCTTTCCCTGTACAATAGACACTATTCCCTAGAACCTTAAAACATAAAAGCAATATTTGTCGTAACTCTGAATCGGCAGCACTAACAATACAGTACAGGAGCCATACAGAGCTGGCATCTGGATGAAGCCTTCTCTCTAATCCGATGCAAGGTTATGCATAGTGTATATTGTTTGTTGAACAGCACAGATGTGTCAGAAGTTTCTGGGGTTTGTTCTTTCTTGGTGTATTCAGAACATTCATTCTTGCAGACAAATGATAGCTCAGGAATGTTAGTAAATCAATGCAGAATTCTGGGATCCAGGACTGTCTTTTGCAGCTGTATGTTGATGAAGGTCTCAGCCTTACATGTTACCTGTTGAAGGAGACTCCCGTTTGTTTTTTTGTGATTAAAGCAAAAAGCTGAACTGAACTGAAGCAAAGCCATACATGCCACTCATAGCCATCTCATTTTCTGAGCGCGCCCTCATCAGACAGTTAGTTACCTGCAGGGCTGCACTGAATCAGCAGGTCTGAAAGTCTCTGTGTGGTTTGAACCCAAGACTACCATCGAGCAGTGTGATCTGTTTTCTGAAAGGGGTCTGCAGCGCTGTGTCCTGGATCTGTTTCTCTCTTTCTAAGGGGGTGGGATGACTCAGCTTCTGTTCATGACAGGCAGGCTGTTGAATAATGAAAATAAAAACTGAGAACAGACACTCTTACTGCAGACATAATATGAGATCAGCCATGAGATAAAATATTAAGACCACCTTTGGTTAAAAAAGAAAGAGGGTCTGTATACTCAAGAAGCTTTGACATCTTCATCTTTTTTCTAAATATTTATAGATTAATAACTCATGAGCTTGCGTGTGTGGCTGTGTGTGCACGTGTGGTTCTGGCTGTGGACTGTACACGCTCGATCATAAATACAAATGCATCTCTCAGCTGAAATAAAAGGCAAATGGCTTTATTTAACCTTTTTACCAGATCCCTGCGATCTGCAGGTAGCGAGAAGGAGAGAAGCTGAAAGTGAAAGCTGGCTTTGGGGTTGAGAGAGAGAGAGAGGGAGAGCTGAGTGAATTTGTTTGCTGAAGTTGAAAAGGCAGGAAGGCAGTAGCTGCATGATACAGTTTGGGCACTGTCAGCCCATCTAGAGCGCAGGAAAGGTAGAATGCCGAAGTGGTGTCACCAGCACTGGAGCTGGAAACTGAAGGGGGACTGGATGGAGCCTGACAAGCGACAGAAGTTCCATTTCAAGCTGTCAGAGTTAAAGCTGAGCAGCCACCTCATTGGCACGATTTCAGCCTCTCTCGGTAAAGAGAATATAAAATTTCACGGTGTTTTTATTCCACTGTCACGTAAAGGATTATATTCTGTCGGAATGACTGCTGGGAGCGTTGCTGGGGGTCTGATTTATATCTGAAATGTGGTTTTCTGTTTGATGCTCCTCGAATGGGTTTTGCATTGACTAGAACGGAACACTGTGAAGGTCTGCGCTGCCGCTGTAGAAGAGTGACTAACAGCTACTGCATTTCTGTCTTATCCTAGAGGGGTGTCAGTTTGGGACGCTAAACGTGTAAAACTGGTAGAGTGTGACACAGATGGTGATAAAACTGCAGAATCCGTTGGATTGTTGTCAATGAGCGTAAGGTTTCACTAATAACTGGTGACTAGAGGTGCAGTTGGTACAAAGTCTTTTTTTCATTGTGAAATAAGATTGTAACACTTTGTGGTGACATTATAACACTTTCCAGTGACACTCTGGAACAGGACAACCTGTTAAACTGAGTTAATGGAACAGGTAGATTTGCACAGATGAACCATCATTTGTCCTGTACTGGGCTGTCATTTCTTGAAATAACACTCTTCATGGTGAGATTGAAAAAAAAACAGTTATTATGTTCTTGATTTTTCAGAGAATGTGTCGCAAGAGATAATAATAGGTCCATAAAGTTACATAACTCCATTCAGTGTTTACTGGCTCTAAAACTTTTTGTTTTTGTTTGTTGATCCAGGTGTTTAAGCATTCACTGAGGGTATTGGGAAGACAGTCTAAGGAATAGTATAATTAATTTTTGATTTCCTAGTGACATGTGAATATATGTGCAAGTACATACAGTTCCAAAATCATAAATGAGTCTCTTGTATTAAAAATATCAAGGATATTCACAAATGTATATAGGGTGACAACTATCATTTGGTTAAGTCTGGCTTCTTTAAAAATAGTTAACCCATTGTAAAGAAATTGGGCACTCATTTATCCAAGCATGAGATGTGAAATTGAAATAACTAATTTTAAATATATCGTACTGCAACTGTAAATACACAGGACATAACTTATGTTTAGGTATATAGTTCTGCAACTGCAAATATGGAGCATATAATTGTGCTGATATCATTATCAGTGCATTTATTTTGCTATATTCTAATCCTCTGCATATAAAGGAACACTGTCCAGACAACACGACTTTCAATTCCAGGGTCCCGCAAACATCTGTACCGCTGGTGTGTGCTTCTGTCTTATATTAAAGCATTTACAACCAGACTGTTTTGTGTTCTTTCTTTAAAATTGAATACAGTCTTAATTATTGTTTGTTTCTTTTTCTCCCACATGGCTGCCTCCCTCAAAAGCTGAAAGAACTTTATGCACTGAAAAGACCTCAGGAAAATCCAAGATGGCCGCCAAAAGGAAAGGTGGCCTAAAACTGAACGCTATTTGTGCCAAACTGAGCCGGCAGGTGGTGTATGACTGCAGCTCCCAGCAGGCCGAGGGGGAGCTGAACCTACAGGACAACAGCGAGAGGGAGAGCTTGCACCGCGAGGAGCCCGAGAGGGCCGACGCGGACTTCCCAGAAGGCTCGAGTGCAGGCCAGAGCTTTGAGGATGACCAGAGGAGGCGAGAGGCCATCGAGAAGTGGGTGAACGGGGATTATTCGGAGGAGCCTCTCCTGGACCACGGGGAGGTGGCGGCGGCGGCGGCGGCGGCGGCGCGCAAGCCCGATGCTGCTGAGGACGGCCCCCCCGAGGGGGTGTACATGGTCCAACCCAAGGGCTGCAGCGAGGAGGAGGACAACGCGGAGGAGCCCGACGCCCTGCCGGCAGCGCGGGACGGCGGTTACCACGACGACAGGGACCCGGAGGACGCCGCGCGGAAGGAGGAACGATACGGCTCTTCTGGTGAGGCCGCCATCAGGCAGGCCCCCTTCTCCACCCCGGGTACGTGCTCCTGACCCTCTCCCGTCTCGTCTTCTCATCCGCTGGGCCTGTGTGGGCCGTGGAGGATGTCTTGGCATCCCCCTGTCCAGGCCGGCAGATGTCCTGCTGCAAGTTTGGTTTTAATAGTTTCGGACGCCAAAACTAAAAACTGCAGTGTCATCACTGTTTTCCCCTCTGTTGTCTTGGGTCGGGCTTGTTAGGGATCTGTTGATCAGTGGAGTCCTCAAGCCCAAAATATGTCAGTGCCCTGGTAAAATACAGGTGTCATGAACAATAAAGTCCACTATAGGAATGGGGATATTAATTCTCCACATTCAAAAACTACCAAAACTTAAAGCGCAGAAGATGCAGAGTGATTGAAATGTTACTGTGAAATAACACCTGAAAATCTAAATGGTAGGAAACTGCTTGTATGATAAACTTAAATGCATAACTGCTGATAGTGAGTGATTTCCTCATGCACATCAAGCTCAGCAGCACATATCAGGTTTAAATGGGTGCAGCACCATTTTAATTGCATTCCATGTTCATCGCTGCTCTTCAATGATGCAAAGCCTGCTTGATTGTGAAATTAAGGCAATTTCTTCTTTTTTAGCGGCTTTCCTTACAAAACATGTTCCTTGCACTTTTGCATTAATCTCTTTTCTGCTGCAATTTTGAAACATCTAAGCAAGTCTAATAAAAATGAATACAGTCATACCTTCCCATTAAAAAAGTGCGGTCTGAGGCAGCAGGTTGTGCAAATCTGACCCACAGCACTGAAACACGCCCTGCAATCTATTAGCAAATGCAAAGTCATTCAATCCATTTGATGCCTGAGAAATCTGTGTGCTTAGAGAGAAACTGTCAGATAATCCTCTAATTGTACATTTTCAGTTGTTTTAGAGATATGTATGTACATAGGCTTAATTGCAGAGCAATTGAAACAGAGTTGTTGGCATAAACATGTCTGAGAGAACAGACGTAACATCAGCCCTTTACAGCTCAATGTTTAACAGCAGCAAAAAACAGGTAAACTTACATCATCGATCCTTTGTTTCGAGATATTCCTGGGGATTAGATTTAAACCTCTTGCATCGTCAAAATGAGTGTTGATGGGTTTCCATTGGCACAGGCCTGGTGTGGATTTAAACTGTGTCAGTCTGGGTTCGATTTGTGGATGGGAGATCTCTGAGTCCTGATGAATATCTTGGATTGCTGGTTATTCATGCAGTCTGGGTCAAAGTTGGAACAAAGGTATCTTTTTGTAGAAAGTTCCCCAGTTACCAGCGCTAACCCATTTCCCGCTGGATCAACCAAGTGGGGTCAAGCTGTTGCAGGTGCAGTGGAGACAAATGTCCGGGATGTTTATAGAGTGATGGGATTCATGGGTGTTAAAAAAGAGCATGAACGGTTTGGTCAAGAACAAGCTAGAGGGTAGCTGAAAATCAGTCATCTTGAGCGCTGCACGTGTAAAGCATCTGTGACTCGAAATGTGTAGTATTTAGTCAGTCTCTAATGCAGCTGTCAGAACTATTACCTTTGGCACCTTAATAGGTCAGCTCTCATCAGCTTTTTCAAATTGAGTTTTAATATTCAGAGGATGAAGATGTGAGTTACCAGGTAATAGAAGACTCAGGGAAGAAGATGCAAGAAGGACAGGCGGGGATCTGTTGTGTGAGTGAGGTTCCCTCTTTTAGATGAGCCTGGTGATGGTGGGGTTTTCGAATGCAGGCAAAACACGGGATATCCAGTATTTTACAACAGGTTTATAATCATGACCCCTGACTGAAGAATTTGATCTAAGACAGCAGGCTTCAAAAAAGAAATCACTTCCAACTGCAGCTCAATACTGGGATGCAACACATTTAAAGGTTTAGCTGGAATCTTCTTTCATACAATATAGACTTTTTTGCCTGCAGCTTATTTTTTGTTGTTTGTTTTCCCCTCTGTGAATGCTTTGAAATGTTTTTTTTTCACACCAGACAAGTTGCAGTAGCTGTGGCCTCTCTTATGGAAGTGGGACCATGAGTTCTCAGAAAACATAGCTTTTTTTCCGGCAAATGCAAGAGCTTTGTGGTTTTAATTAGTCATTTAGTATTTATTTCATGGTTATAAATGGAGTTTCTGTAAATATGTGTTTGTGTTGTGGAACATACCTTTGCACTGAAAATGTATTCTGTGTTTGAGCCCTCTCTGTACAAAGAGAGGTGCTTCATTGTCGAGAACCTGTCTTCTGAGTTTTCTCTGCTTTGTCTGTAAGTAGGGCATCTCTATTGCCATGTTTCTGTAGAGCTCACAATTAAAAGAGTCTGATTTTTCTCTGCCGTCTTTCAAAGCCTGATACAGCACGCACATAATTATGCATATAAACATAGTGGCTTAATTATCTCTCACAACATCAGTGACAATGTAATTAACAAACATTGCAAGATCAATGAGAGAAACTGTGACCTTCAAAACATTTAACTCCTCGCATAGAAACACAGCAAGGATTTAATATCTGCAGAACTCCAGAATATTTCTTCAGTTTTTTTTGTGTTGCACGTTGTGTGCTGTGAAACATACTGCACCATGGCAGCTACACAACAAACCTATCAAAAGGATGCATTTTGCCACTTGCTTGCTGACCAAGATTTAAATTCCAAATTGTACAAGTTATCTACACCACTATCATTTTTTTATTATATTGTCATTGAAATGACAATGCCCTGAATTTGTGTTCTAAGACATGTATCACGTTAAGGCATGTATAAAAGCAAGTGATCTTCTGATTTTTTTTAAATTTTGTTTATGGTAGGTTGATACAGGAAACGATAAATGAATAATAAATTAATTTATCTCAGAAAAAAGAACAGCCAAGACTTAAACTGTTCAGCAGACAATACTAACGGTTGGGCATTTTCTGAAAGACACATCATGAATGCTTGAGCTGGCACCCCTTTCTGAAACTGATTTATCGAGTGCAATAAATGTTGTGAGTTTGACCTACACGTATATGACCTCACTCGTCATAAGAAGTGGGCGTTAAAATATTGTTGTGAATTAACTTATTTAAGATAAGCGGCACCAACGCTGTGCTTTCCTGCAGCCAGATTAGCTTTTAAAATTTGTTTTTTTCAGAAGCCTGTGCTTGAACACAATTTTTTTTTATTTTACCTCGAAAGTTCCTCTTGAATAATCCTGTTCGTGTATCAGTGGCAGTTCCATGTCCTATTCCTTTTTGAACTCCAGTCTGATAGGTGTTACTTGTGCCTCAGTTTATGTCCATGTTTGGTCAGTAAAAAGGGAGATATAGTGCTCTTTTGTTATCGCATTGTTGAAAAAAAATGTGCCCTAATTGCTTCAAACATAGTCAAGGCCTGTGTATGTCGCGTGGTGGAATTTGCCAACATGAAGTGCAGAGATTAGGGGCACTTCTCTTTATATTCCCCAGCCACAGAGCGAGAGATAGAGGGAGAGAGAGTGACAGAGCCCAGCTTCCCAAATCATACAGTTCACTGAATCCCAGGTTCCAGAAAGACATCCACATAACATCATGACGAGGACTTACAAGGAGGCGGAAAAACAGAACCTCAGGGAAAAGACTGTTCAAACAGTTTCTACCTTGCTGTGTTACTCTGCATTCGTTGAGCCCATTCATTCTCCAGGCTTTGGCTCTGCAGACACTGGCGGAGAGTTTGAACCTCGCCTCCACAGCCCTGACCTGGATGAGACCATGTCTACTCACCACACGCGATGCGCTGTCCCTCTGTTGACGTGATTTCAAGGGCAGCGCGGGGCTCTTTCACACTCCAAAACACCATGTGAACCAAAGAAGGGGTCATACTCTGGTCTTATGAGGCTCCAAGTAAAGATCCCCTTTACCTGACCCAGTGTCAGGATTCTCCCCCTGCAAACTATACCATACCAGTTAATCACTTTTATTAAACAGTAGGTTTGTCAGTAGTGCATGATTCTAAGCACGACTTTAACTTGTTTTAATCTTTAATATTTCTATATGAATATATATGTGTGAATGGGCTGCAGGAAAGCAATATTTGCCTGAGGGGGTAATGAGAAAAAACAAGTAATGACTGATAATTGGGAACGTGAGCAGACAGGTGGGACGTTCTTTATACCTTATCTCATTAGGAGAGAAAAGTGAAGTATTTTGCTAAATTAAAGGGCGGGCACAGACACATCTATACCCCCCTTGCTATATATTACCATGTGCTGAGTCCTCGGTATTATATGGCAGGTTTCTCTTCCAAACAGAGAACAGAAAAGCATTTCCTGAAGGGCTTGCACAGCCCCCTGTATGGTCAACATGCTACCCACATCAGCGCCACCATTGCCAGCTCTCGCATTCAGTGTGAGGAATCCCAAAGAAAGACTCGATTCAGGCTGTTATTTGTAAAACATGTGTTGCAATAATTGGAATGACGGTGATCGTGAGAGTTTATCTTCAATTTGTTTCCACATCTGTAATTTGAATTTGTACTTTCAAAATTGCAACAGGCAGTGATTCAGCTCCTTTGCCTGTTCTTCAGGCTACTGTCACTGATGGGTATCCATAGGAATAAGAAATAGATTTGTTGTTGTTTTTTTTCCTTAACTGAGTTAAAACAAAACAAAATTGGTAGGAGGTCAAACCCTAATCTCACCCACCTTCTCCTATACATTTACAGTGCGTACATATACATACCTCCCTTTTTGCTCACTTGCTGGTGTGTTTCCCCTTTGTGTTCCTTCCTCCACCCCATCTTCACCCCAGCAGCAGCTCCCTGGCTCATTCTTCGTTAAAGAAGGGTGTTTCAAAGGCCCCCTGGACAGGTTGTTGTTGTTGTTCTCCTTAGACAGCCGTGTTACCCCAACACTGAACGCTATTCGAATTGCACCCCTTCTCCCACCTTTATTAAGGTTTTCCGAAATGTTTCTAAAGTATTTATGTATCTCCCTACACTATCATTCACTAAGTGTAGCTTTTTAAACTACTGAATTGAAAGTATATTTTCCAAGCCTATTGACCTACTCTTTTGTACCAGCAAGAGGTAGTTAAAGCTTCTAGCACATTAGATCTTTTAGGATGAAAGATGTGAGTGTTTGCTTCTACAGCTCCATAGATTTAGAGAATGAATTAGTATTCACTAAACTTAGAAAGGATGTAACTGTCAAATTAGTGTTGTTCAACAGACAATATTTATTTCCGCTTAATAAATCGGTGATTGAGTTTCCTTTTGTAGCTGAAAAATCCCATACCTGTTTCACTGACTGAGTGCCATCAACCTTAAACATTGGTGATGATCAATCTGTTCATGTCATGTCACAGAGATTGTCACTCTCTCTCTGTTCCCTTAGTCTGAGCTTTAAGAAGCATGGGAAAGGAGTTTTAACAAGTATGATGGGGGATTTAATGATTTGTTTTTCTGAAAATGTTAAAAAGAAAACAGGATTTCGCCTGTGCACTGACATTAGAAAAGGGTGGTATCAGATTCAAATTTAAAAGACATATACTGTATATAGTATATAGGCTAACCCCGGTGTCCTTGCCAAATTTCCCATTAGCATTTACCAGTCATGGCCTCCCAATAATCCCCATCTCTGAACTGGCTTCGTCACTCTGCTCTCTTCCCCACTGAGAGCTGGTGTGTGGGGAGTGAACTGGCGCATCATCCAGGTGGGGCTGCACATTGGTGGTGGAGGGGATCCCCATTACCTGTAAAGTGCTTTGAGTGGAGTGTCCAGAAAAGCGCTATATAAATGTAAGCAATTATTATTATTATTATTATTATTATTATTATTATTATTATTATTATTATTATTATTATTATTATTATTATAGAAAGGCCTCAATTCTGGCTTCTAAGAGCCATGATTTGGCACACTAACACAACAGTGCTACTGAAACCCTGTCAGTTTATCAGCACTTCACAGGACAAATACCCTGAGGAAACCTGAGATCAGCTGACACACTTGTTTTGTTTTATTTTTTTCTCCAAAGGTTTTCAAAATATTTTGTCAGCCATAAATTTATAACTGGTTTCTCGAGTTACCCTGTAGAGCTACTCTGAACTCTGAAATTCTGGAAAAGGTGAAAGTCGCTACCTGAGGCCTTGCACTGGCATCACACTCCCACGTTCCTCAGGGAAGTAAACGCTGACGTTGGAGCTGCACCTCAGCTTCCTCATGAAACGTTCCCCCACTCTTAGCTGTGGCAGTTCTGAGTCATAGAAGAGGTGGCTCATGTAGATGTTTCCTCACCTGCTACCTGCAGAAATATCTCGGCTGTTACAGGTATGCAGAGACTACACCCTCTGGACATGAACTAAGCCCTGTCGTTTTTGTTCTAATTGGTTATTGAGTTTTATTCTACTCAGACCCTAGAAAACAAAACCCTCACCGTGCATACTGTCTGTTGACATTACTAGAAAAAAGTGTTTGGCCTTGTAAGAGAGGACTGTTGTCAAAAGGAGGGGACAGTATCTTTGCGATGTGGTCTTATCGGCCATTTCTCAGTGATTAAGGCATTTAAATTAACAAAGAACAAGGGGTTTCGCATGCAGGATGTGGCTGCCACAAACAACTGATAACATAATCAGATCCATATTAATGTTTTTTTTAAATAAAAGTTAATTATCACAGGACCCTTGCAGTCCCTTTGTCTGAAATCTGAACGTGGGTCCAAAGTTGTTGAGTGCATCGTTACGTAAAAAAAATCACTGAAAATACTCTTTAAAAAATGCGAAGAAACCTTTTGTTTCCTCAGGAGATGAGCATGAAGGGAGCTAAGTCTGTTTGCCCTTTTCACTTCTGCTTTGAAATATTCGCTGATTAAAGACTAGACGAGTGTGTCATAACCATAAAAATTATGGTAGTGTTTTTTATTGGGTTTTTTGGGGGTTGCATTTTTTGGCTGTTATCATGTGCGTAGGTGAAAATGATGTAAACAAATTAAGCTGCAAGTTCAGAGGCAGGTATTAGTGACACTGAAAGAAGGGGGAACATCATGTGAGACCCCATCTGTCTGTCCTGTCCTCTGCCTTTTCTCTTTCTGCCCCATTCAGTCACAGAGCGGTTGGAAGAGTGTGCTGGGATCTACTCTTCTCTAAAGGGCCGCAGTGGAGACAGTTGTCGTTTCTAGTATACACATTCAAAGAGAAAACAAACTCGTAGGAGTAGCTTTCCTTTGAAATCCGAAAGGACATTACACAGTACATGCCCTGTTAGTTTGGCAAAACGTGTAATATTAACACCAGATCGGATGGCTATAACAAAACAAATAATAGTTTCAAGAAATAACAGACGCCAGTTAAAAGGCCAGTATGCACAGAATTGTGGGCTTTACATGGCTTTTAAACAATGAACTGCAATCCTACTTTGAAGAAAAAAAGAACATGACTAAAAACATCTGTGAAACAGTATCAATTATATACTTGTTGTAAATTGCTCCTCTCCCTTCCTTCCTGTACTGTAATTTAATAATCTGAGGAGCGGTACAGAAAAAAGTACCTTTTCTAGAATACTGTCTGTATACTTTTGTATTTAGGAAAACCAAATGGGCTGATGATGTTAAACAGTAGTCTTATGTGTGTTCAAATCAACATTGGACAGTGATCATTTCTGCAGGCATTTATGTAGGCCTCTGTGGAGGAGCCAGTATGCAACAGCAAGTGGTCTAACAAAACATCCTGGAAAAAAGAATGAAAAAACTATTTCCTCTCAAATACCTGATACATTTCTTTTCAATTTTTCATGCCTTTTCGATCTGACGGATCTCATTTCATATTGATGTGCCACCCGGAGAGGCAAGCGTGATGCCATGATGGAAATTCGGGGATTATTTTACAGGCCAGGAGGAGAAATGAAAAGCCGGGAGAGACAGATTTAGCAATAACACAGAAATCCGAGACCAAAGATGAAATTTTGAGTATTAATTACCTTCTCTGCAGCTAGTGTTACACCTCCCCGTCTAGGGTGCACAGCATATGAAGAAAAAAAGCCTTCAAATAAGTGGTGGAATGGTCTGGGCTGTTGCTGGGACCAGACCAACACAGTGGATGGAAGCCAAAAGTCTCTATAGCTTTTTACTGCTGCTTCACTGCACCAGTTAGCTGGGTCGAGCTTACTCACATCGCCTGCCCCAGGGCCTTACTAAAGGCAAAAACTGACAAAAAGCCAAGATTTTCAGAATTTGCCTGAATGAGAGTCAAAATAGGCTTTTTATGGCCATTCTTTCTTTTTTCACTTTCTGATACAGCGCGTGCACAACTCCTGTGTGTGGCTGTGGAGAGCTGAGCCAGCCACGGCGATCTCTCCTAATGCTTTCAAACAAAACCTTTATTTCTTTTTCCCCTGACCCGGGTGAAAGTTAATGGGCCAGAATTAATCTCTACATAACGCAATTAAACTATACATTTACTCCATTTCCATATGTCCTTGGGGAGGGTGGTGAGTTTAATGGACTCTTAAAATAAGAAGCCGCATTTTAGAGCAGAAATGAGCAGGTGCTGCCCTTTGGGCTTGATAAAAATAACGAAAAAGGGGAGAGTTTGTAAGGGTGCGCAGTGAGAAAAAGAAAATAGCCCAGGTTGTACTGATGAGGTTGTCATTGGCAGATTCCAGCACAGGACCTGCTGTTGTTTTCCAAAAAGCAAAACGAATGACTTCAGAATCACATTACACTGTGCAAAATGTATGAAGGAAAACAGGCACTTAAGAACTCCCTTAAGTAAATATATTTTTTTTCCCAGAAGACCAGGGGCAAGCACCTACCGTTTATAAACTGATCCGGTTATAAACCGTCATTACCAAATAAGACGGGACAGAAATGAGTACTGCCAGAGCAACACAGCTGAATATGTCAAATATTTCATTTTGGAAATCCCTTTTCATTCTGCCCCCTGAGGCTAAAAGTATCTTGACTAAAAATAAAGTAGCGGGCGAATGGGAGACGACAGCAGCAGCTGTGGGTTTTGATCGCATCGTAGTTTTAGTCACAATTCATATTTTTCTTCAGAATAACAAGGAAGCCCCCCCCCAAAAAAAAGGATTTGTGCATTTGATTGCTGAATGCCGGCATAGGTTCAATATTGATAAGATCTCTAGCTATGTGAGTTCCAAGGGCAGTGCGTCTATGAAAACTTTGTTTAATGTACTGAGAAGCCATCGACAGGAACATTTAGTGAAATTGATTCCAGTGACATTGATGACCTCTGCTCTTTTCCTTGAGCAGTAATTACCTATTTACCTCTTTAGTTTCTAAAAAAAAGGAGTTAAATGTAAGTGATGTGCAGATGAACAACAGAGGAATATGTGCGCTGCTTCAAAACTACATTCTCCGCCATTTCACTTGACAGGTTTCTCTAGTTGCACATCTTTTAACACAGGGGCTGGTGTACAGAAGCGGGAGTTCAGAAACACAGACGATGAGCAGGCAAAAAATGTTTTATTAATCCATCTGGTCAGATTTTAAGAATGAGGACGGTCGTGGCACAAGTATTGTATAGTAAAAAAACAAGCCGCTGTTGTTATACAGTTGGATTTAAAGAAGTTTTGCCCCCCTCGCAGCCTTTTTCTTCCATGGCTGGGAGAACGGAGATGGCGTCCATTCCTGTTGCCCTTCTCATCCTTAAACATGTCTTCTGTCTCCTGTGTGTCTTGCAGGGGAAGCCACTGCACTCCGTGACTATGCAGCCAACACCATGAACGAGTTCCTTGGCATGTTTGGTTACGACGACCAGCAGGTGAGGGATGAACTGGCCAAGAAGATAAGCTTCGACAAGCCGAAAGCTGCTACCTCAGACTCCTCCTCCCTCTCCAGCGAGGAGGTGACCCGACGGGCGCGGTTCTCCAAGTACGAGGAATACATCCGCAAGCTGAAGGCCGGGGAGAACCTGCCCTGGCCTGTGCAGGCCCCAAAGCCTGAGGACTTGAATTCCAAGCTGGCCCAGGAGAAGGGGGCCCTGCTGCAGGCCACGGGCCGGCTCCAGAGCCCGGATGGACAGATCTTCCCGGGGTCGGCGGACCCAAAGCAAGGGGCGTTGGCTGTGGCCCCGGCCACCTCCTCCCAGATCCAGACCCTGGCTTCCCGGGCCTCCAAATACGACTTCTTCATCCAGAAGCTGAAAACGGGGGAGAGCCTGAGGCAGCAGAACGGCAACAGCTACAAGCGGCCTTCCAAGTACGACCTGGAGAACGTCAAGTTCCTGCACTTGTTCAAGCCCGGGGAGGGCAGCCCAGACATGGGGGGCGCCATCGCCTTCAAGACCGGCAAAGTGGGGAGGCCCTCCAAGTACGACATCCGCAACATCCAGAAGCTCATGCCGGTGAAGACGGAGCCTGCTCTCCTCCCCACCACGCTCCCAGCTGCGCCAGGGACCCCCGGAACGCCCGGGGCCCCCCCGGCCTCCACTGCTGCTGCTGCTGGGGCCACAGGGGTCCCCGGTGAGCAGGCCACCCATCTCGGCTTCAGCGCCTCGGACTACATGAAATCCAGCTTCTCCAAAACCGACTCCATCACAACTGGAACTGTGTCCACAGTCAAGTAAGAGAGCCGTCCTGGGCTGAGCTGGGTGGTGTGGAAAACTAGAGTCTGTGGCTGCTGATAGGAGTGGCTAACATTTTCAGATTGGATGTATTATTTCTTTCTGTTTATGTATAAATAAGCATGTTGTACTTAATTTTATAGTTTCCATTACTCAATTCCTTAAAAGTGCTTTTGAAGTGAGTCATAACTACTGCATGAGTGACAGAGCTCGGTTTGGCGGTGTTTTTTTTTTAATCCTGCTGAGAAATTGTTCAAAAAGAAAATTTCCTAAGTGTTTTCCTCATAACGCTTGTGACTGCCCAAAAGACGAAGCAGATTAAGACAGAATTATGAGAAAGATGAACAAAACCAAAACCAAAAAAGAGATCTATTTCGGCCTTCTGTTGTCATCTGCATTTTGAAAAGTAGAGTCGCAAAAACATTTTGATGCTGAGGTGAGATAACGTGCAAATTACTTACATGTCTATGAAGTAATTAGATTTAACTTGATCACTGCATAAACTGTGAAAAGACTTGGCATTTGTTTTCTAGTGACCTGTTGACAATGTGGTTTGCCACAATATTGCGCATTTATCAGATATAATAGTTCTTTAACGCAGTTAAAGACTCTGACATGCACTCTCTTAAATGTCCTCATATTCAGCACATCCCCTGCTCACTCACTATACGTTTTCTTCCAATGTAAACTGTAGTTCTATTACACTGTTAAGTAGAAATATTTTCATTTATTTATTTGTACCAGTTGCTGTTTCACAGGGGTACAGTACATATTTATAATTATTGCTTTTACCGCAGTTCAGAGAAGCTAAATCCATTCACAGTGGTGGGCATTGTGTTAAAGAGCTGTCAGGCCCTATCGCTGTGTAATAAATGGCTGAGGCCCCTGGGTGTGTACGCAATATAAATACGCAAAATAATACTGCAGCGTGTGTCCTGCACAGCCCTCAGTGTCAGCAGAGCTGTAACAATCCTCAGCTTAATTACTTCAGAACCATATCTAAATTCCTGGAGAGCGGCGACGGTCTGAAATTGCCCGGTTGAGCCGTGTGAAAGCAGAACGGGAGTTTGGAAGCAGCCCGAGTACGTTCAGTCTGCTTGGCCGTCGTGCTTTATGCGCTCGATAATTGACCTTGTCTTTCGTGAGGGGCCATCACATTTCAGCTCAGGATATTTAACTGATGCTGCGGTCAATTATCCGCCAGGTAGAGCCCGCAGAGCCAGCGGCGGCGGCTTCGCTGCAGCGGTCGTGCTCAGTGCCCAAGGGCTGTCTGTGTGTGCTTGAATTCAAGATCCGCCCTGAGGATCTTGGATACTCTCCTTGCCTTGAAAAGGGGATCTCAATTTTCTAGTCAAATTTGGTCTTATGTACCCCTGTACCATTACAGGTTTTGCAGCCCTTCACAGACAGTATCAGTGGACTGCCCAGCAAAAATCCCTTTCCAGTCAAGAACAGCAGCAGAGCAAACATCCATTTCCCATGATCCCCCTTTCATTCTGTGAGTAGAGTGTGGAGTGGTAGGGCTGCTCACCTGCAGCCACAGACACATTTGAGCCACGATCTCCTTCTGAGGGCTTTTGACCTCTTGCATACTTAATTTTGCATAAGTGCACTCTCCAAAAGAGCACTAATGATTTGTGCTGCGTTTTTCCCCTTTATTGTTGGGGAGCCATACATCAAAGTGTGCTTATGCCTCCTTGATTCATTTGTCTATGAAAACGTTGTTACACCTCAGAAATGTATATTGATAGCCCGAAGTTTGAAATTGCTTGTAAGTAAATATCGTGTCAGTTTGTTTATATTAACGACAGGGCCGTTTCGCATTAATCCTCTCTCTTTTGTGCGCTGCATTAGGAATGGACTGCCGCCCGAGAAAACAGTCACTGAAGATGTCAACCTGTACCAGAAATATATTGCCAGGTATGCAAATTTTCTGGTTTACAAAGGGGTTCTGGAAAGTTTAAAATAACCTCTTTTTAATTGAAGACATATTTTATGCAGTGATAAAGTTGGATGTAAATCTGAGAAAGAAGTTTTGTGCATGGTCAATAAATTCTGAGTAATCAACAGTTTTATGGACTCAAGAAGATGAATTTGAAAGCTGAGCAGAGGAAGATGATCTGAATTCTGAAAACTGTGAAAGGCCCAGGTGGCCACAAGCTTAAACTCCTTTTACGTGTTCATTGTAAAAATAGAGCATTGCACCCTGATGTTCAGATAAAACAAAAAATAACATTTCTATAGATTTTTTAAATTCTTTCCACGAAGCTCTCTTTAGATCTGGTGTCATCTTTTATCAGATTGCCTGCATAAACTAAAACCTAAAAACATTACTTACCTTAAATAAGTCAGTAAGCAAACCTTAAAAGCACATGCCTCTGATGACTTTAAAAGTCCTCTTTGCTGTTTTTGTTTAAAAACATCAGGTGCTTCATTGGCTCTTTCCAGATGGTGTGATGGGAATATTAAATGACAAATTGTTGTGAGTACAGGACAGGTGATAAAAGGTCAAAGGTTAAACCATTGCAACAGCTGCAGGGAGCACAAGATCTGAACTGAATACTCTGCAAGGAGCTCTGGTTCAAAATATTCTAATTGCACAGCCAAGTGAGCGATAATGTCTTGTGCAGGACTTATCCCCAGCCTTCAGTACTATAGTCTCTATTCATTTGAAAGTGCATTAAGGTGAGTTTTTTTGTGTTTTGTTTAATTGTAGTTCTTTTCTAAGTACAGTTTCAAAAGGAAAAAATGCCTAGTCTATTAATGCTTAGATTTCCATGCTGAAACATGAAGGCCACAAATCAAAGCTTGCAAAATGATAGACACATACACTTCCGAGTGCACACGCACACACACACAAGCTTGCACAAAAAAATCCTCCTTGGACTGATTACATTTTGCAAGAAGATTTAATTAAGGAATTTTTAATGAGGCTTCTACTGGCACTGCCAAGAACTGTTTTGATATTTGCACTGCATAATGCATAAAATTTGTCTAAACATCTCTGCAGTTGATGTGCAGGGTGGCAGGAGATAAGCTGAGATACAGTTTCAATTTCCGTATTGGGTGGTGGTGGAGGGGGATGCTGGGCTGAGGGGGGAAGGAACACAGAAAAGGGCAAAAACTGCCTCAAGCATCTGGGGTCTTGCCTCTGGAAATTCACCCCTCACTTTTCAGACTTCAGACTAATGAGCCCACACTCCCAAAAAAAAACGATTCCTTGTACGCTAGGTGACAGTGCTTTATCTCCTCGTGTCGGACAATTCTGAGGTTTAATGTGCGCCCTGGTGCTATTTAGTTGCTGTTTTCCCCTCTTAAATGGTTTTGTGCACCGACCAATTCTCTGGACTTTAAACCATGTGGCTATTGTAATATGAGATGCATTGCAATCTCTGTATCGTTGCCATATTAATATTTAATCTGTGAGTGAATAGCTTTGGACAATTAGCCCCACAATGCAGTGCATTCAGGTTGTCCAGAGGCAAATGATACAGCAAAGAAATACAAGGAGAAGTGTGCAGGCTGTCCCTCTTGTTTTAGTGCACATGTGCATGTATTGTGTGTGTGGGGGGGGTAGGGGTGCTTCTTTAATTTTTTTTATCTTTTAGAAAAAGCTGGCGTAACTGTTTAATACAATATCCAGCACAGCCCCCGCACCACCCCATAGCCCCCCCCCCCCCCTTAAAATGCTGTGGATTTGCTGTTCAATTAGCTTAATGAACTCGGCAAAGTGATCACTAAAAGCAGCCCTGGGATAATCCAGCCCTGCACTGAAAAAAAATCTCTTACTTAGCTATTTTTTTTTTCAGTGGGATTTTTTTAGTGCTTTAGCAGATGGCGCTTTTGGCAGCAGCAGTGCAAATGTTTATTTGTGTGTTTTTAGCTATAATTGGAGGTTTTTAACAGTCATCATCGGTAGGGTTATAATGAGGCCGTAAACACTTGGTAAACGCGCCTCTTTAACTTCTGACGATTCGCAGGAGGAAAATCGACAGTGAAAGCTGGGATATGCAAACAAAAATGAAATCAGGAGTTATGCATTAATGTTTTTTTATTAATCTCCAACCCTTTTGGATTAAAGCATCACCGCTAACCTGAAATTACATTTTGGCAAGGCTGTAAACGGTCTGATTAATTAACTCTTCTTAGAGTTAGAGTTTAATAGGAGTCTAACAAAATGTTTCCGGAATGAATTGATGTTTTCTTTGGAGAAATGCGACTGAAGAAAAAACTTGGCTGTGTGCTGTACAGCACCTCAGAGTGTGATCAGGTGTCTGAAAGTCTGTCTTGTATAGTAACTGAAAATGGGTAATAACCTTTTCATGCTGTATTGGAGCATGAGGACAGGTTTAAATGAACAGCACGGCAGCAGCTCTCGCAGTTATTTTGTCACAGACCCAGAAATCCACGTCTTATTTCTGGATAAATGATCAAATGTGTTATTTTGAAAAAAATTTTTTTTCAAAGTAAATTGCAAGTTTTGCACCTGATTCTCCCTTGTTGTTGAAATTTAAATGGGGAAAAAAAGAGAAATGAAAAGAAGAAAAATGAGCATGAAGATGGTTTCTCAAGCTTGCCCACCAAAGAATTTTGCATTCAGCAGTTTTTACTGGTGCTTTGAACCCTGGCAGAGGTCCAGGAACTACAGCGGCTGGTTATTCACGGCCGATTTGGGTTATTTTCACTTTTGGACACTTTATTTTGTGCCAAGCTGCTGTGCTCAAAAGGAAACAGTTGCCACCAAAAAGCCAGCTTGAGCCCATCAGCTTCCTTGGCCCTCAGTTTGACCTCAGGCAGTACAGATTCCACATGGGTGTGGAGGGACATGCTTCCCAAGCAGACTCGGCCAGTTCGCTCCACCGCAGCCAGCTTCGTAATTGTTCAAACGATCTCGCTGATTATAATTTAAATAATTAATGAGCTTGCCACAGTAAATGACTGTAATGGTGCAGACTGGAAGGGTCCCAATTTGAGTAGCAGTCATTAAGGCATGAGGTATCCAAACCTGGTCCTACGGATCCTCCACACACTCTGGCTTATACTTGATCCCTTAGTTCGAAACAAAGCTGTGCTTAGGTCAAGTCTGTAAATGCACCTCCCTGTAGTGTTTCACTGTTTATCGTGAAGAGAAGTGCGCGGGACCGACTATATCAATGCTTTGGAGCATTCTGAACACTTGGATTGGGACCCTTCATGGTCATCTCTGTTCATAACTGAAGGAGTTCAGTTCCTTCAGCCTGTCAGTGTGGGACATGCTTTAAACCTTGGAATGTACTTGCACATTTCTGACCCACTCCAGTACAGCCATATCTTTTTTGTAATGTGGTAACCAGAATTGTCCAGAATATTCAATATCAAGGTATTAGTAGTTCATTTTTAACATAAAACGTCTCGATGTGTTCTTATATGTATTAGAGCAATTAACAATCTTTCTAGGAGATTCACGTATATTGTCATTATTTCCCACTTTAGTGTCATCACCAAAGAGATCTCCTTGCAGGCCTGGTTTCCACTGCAATCTTGCTTCGGTCTGATGTTTTTCTGCTTATATTCCTCTGCAATGTTGGCAGTGGCGATTTCTGGAGCCCCGGAGACTTCGGTTGCCTGTTGTTGAACTCCCTGGTTCAGGAACAAGTGCATGCTATCCCCACACCAGTTGTGTCTCATTCCCTAATGGCAATTGCTCTGAATTGCTTTCAGGTTCTCGGGCAGTCAACACTGTGGACATGTGCACTGTGCCTACCAGTACAGAGAGCACTACCATTGTTTGGACCCAGAGTGCAACTACCAGGTAAGTGAGGCAAGTCAGCTGCACACAGTGCGTGAAAAATCTACAAACCAGATCACTGAGCCCATTAGACCAGAGTTATCTCAACATCCCTCTCTTCAGGGCCGCAATCAGAAACTGGCGGTGCACCGATCACTGGGGTTGTGCTGGCTTAATTGCACCATAGCCAAATAACCAGGGTGCAAAGATAACAGTAAAGCTAGTGTTGCTGCACAAACAGTTGTCCTGTTGTGCCAAGTTACAGTACAACTGGGCTAAGACAGGGTGCCGGGTGTTGCAGGATTCTGGGCTGGCGATACAAAGTGTTCAGCTGTGCAGTGAAGGTATTCAGGGTTGTAGAAAGATCCTCTTCTGTTACATCTTCATTTCTTTGCATATACCCCACTGTGTATAAGCGAGGTGAGTACAGTACATACAGTAAGAGACACAAGAGTGTCCCTCCCTCTTTAGCATGTTTTTCAGGGCTCTACTCAAACATTTTGCCCAGTTTCAGCCAGAAACAAACCAAACTTGTTGTATGAATGTAAGTATGGCAAACCAGTCAACGTGTGTTAAAATGACTGGAAAGAGCAGAAACTTAGTTCCATTGGTCCAGTTTTCGTATCACGCAGGGGTCTGGGTTTCTACAGAGCAGAGCAGATTATTCGGTCTATTAGGATGACAGAGCAAGAGTGCTCTCGGTCAGCTGAAGTAGCTGCAATAGCTTGGTTTTGACAAGTCCGTTTAATCAGAATCATAGGTGTGCTCTAACTGTTTTGTGTTATTGAAGAGTTCTAAAAAGCCTTTTGCTCTGCTAGGAAAGCCAGAACTGAGTAAGGTAGAGTGGGAGAAATCCCTCACTTCCCCAGTCTGGAGGTCTCTCTGATCTGCACCGCACACATTTCAGTGCTGCTTGAGCTATGACTGTTGGCAAACATCCAGTTTGTTTTAAAGCCACCCAGAGGCCTGGTCGGACTCTGACAATTGCCCTTTATTTAGGGTTAATTGTAAATATGCTTGAAATATGGTTTTCTTTTTTTCCCAGTCTTCCAAGACATCTGCTTCAGAGTTCAGGCTGCCTTTAATCCCCATTCACTTTATTAATCCGGTCGTGTATAGAGAACAAAAAAAAATAGGTGTAAGAGACAGAAACACAGACAGCGTTCATTTCTCTGCACAGATGGTCAAAGGGAAGTGTCACAGGGACGGGTTACTGAACAAAAAAAAATCTAAATATCCCCCAAAAAACTGTGATTTTTTTCTTATTTAAGTTAAAAAGAAATGTTTTATTTTTAACAAATTAAGTCATCACTAGTCTAATCCTCCGCTATAATCGCAGGATGTATTTATTATTCTTGATAACGGATTATTTTCCAAATGGGAGGCATTACAGGGAAATGGCGCCAAACTACTTTACAGTTGAGGGGAAAAAAAGAGTTTTTCTATTCGATGGCTTATTTTTTATTTTATTTTGCTGGAAAAAATGCAATATGCATGTCATCACAAAATAGAAGATGCCTTGCATGTGATATGTGGTGAAAAAACGTTGTTTTCTTAGGTGTGTGTGTTATACTCCAGTTGTGTACATAATGCTATTGAGTTGCCTTCGGTTTAAGAGAAACCTTTTCTTTATTTGAAGTGGTATGCCCCTTTTAATTTTGTTATAATAAAGAAAACTTGCAGACCTGTTTTGGATTTTGGTAATGCTATTTACTTGACACTTGAATCTGCTTTCTAACTAGGACTCAATTAGTTTTTTTAGAAAAGAGTACATAAAGTGCTGTGCTGGTCATTTATATTCTTTGGTGTCGATATACTGCTAAACTTTCAACCTCAAATCAGAAACCCTTAAAGTGATAACTCACAGAATGTTACTTGACACAGATTTGGAATATTATCCTTCTGCTAGCTTCCAATAACTCACTTAGTCAAGTTCTTTCCTTGCAAAGTTATACTTGTGTGCCCCTCAGTGCACCAGACCAAAAATACATGTGATGGCTCTCTGTAACCTTGTAAAGACCTAGCTAAATACATGTGTTTTATTTAACATTTTTGTCTTCACTATCCCCCTTTTTATTGCTGATGTACATGGGGTTTCAGTAGCCTTCATATGCCAGTGCTTCATCGTGCACATGACTTATTTTCGTATGTTTTAGAAGAAGCAAAATAACAGGTTGTGGCCATGTCATCAAATACAAATATCCCAGCCTGGTTGGTCGCAGGCAGGTCCCTGTTAGCATTCTGCTTTATGTGCTAAATCAGTGGGAACCATAGAGCAGTGGAGTGCAAAAACTAATACATTAAAATCACTATGTGTAGCTTTCTTGATGTAAAAAATATAGCGCCTTTATCCAAAGGGGAATAGTTTCGAAAGATGATTGTTCTTTAAACATCTCTCTGCCACCACCCTGCTCTTTTTCTTCAGTCAGCTTGAGTGCTGAAAAGCGATGGATGAAAGTTGGACAGACGCATTGATTTATACCAAAAAGCTCTTGTTTCAGTTCCTGTAACACCAGCTGAAGCCCAGTTACAGAAGAAGGGTTTTCTCCCGTATCCCCTGGAGTGAATGTTCTGCTCTTTGTACTGTGGCGTCACTGTGGTGCGTGTAAGTGTGTGGGTGTGTGTTTGGAGAGTGGAGGGTTCATTTCAGAGAGAGGGCCCTGGTCATTTCCATCACTTTAAAGCTGTAACCCAGCCAGAAACCGACACTTTTCTGCTTGGATTAAAATAGGAATAATTGCTCAAACATGAAATTCCGCTAAGAAAAAGCAAGAAAAAAAGATCACGGTCTGTTTATTTAGCTCTCTCGTTTGCCTTATCTCACCCCACCGCACTAACACAAACACATCTGCAAGAAACAGAATATATTTTCTAAAAGCCAAAAAACGTGGAAAGCATGATCTTGCATTTCAAATAGGCTGCGTTAATTGAGCGATGCCTTTAAGTAAGAGAGCTTTACATTCAGAGCACATGAAAAAGAACCGCTCGCAACATGCCTGTGTCCGAGCACGCCCCTCAGTCTCGCCCCCACCTCCCAGCCCTCATGCGCACCCCCCCGACAGAATGGATTTGGAATAAATAAACAAACAAGGCCGAGAGTGGACTGGGACCACTGTGCTGGCTCCAGTCAGCCCCGTGCGCTGCCAGTTGGCTGCTGCGTCCTGCAGGTGTTGCCAGAGCGATAATAAAAACGACCTGTTGCCGGTTTTCTCACAAAAAAACCTGTTGCTGTGTCTGTTCTGTCCCTCGCAGAGATTCACCAGTAAGCAGGACGTGATCCGGCACTACAACATGCACAAGAAGCGGGACAACTCCCTGCAGCATGGCTTCATGCGCTTCAGCCCTCTGGACGACTGTAGCGTCTATTACCACGGCTGCCACCTGAATGGGAAGAGCACCCACTACCACTGCATGCAGGTAACCCCCTTGCGCAGAGGCTGCCCAGGGCGGGCCCCCAGCACACAAGGCGGATCGGCTTTTCTTCCTCCTCCTCGCATCCCTTGCAGAGTGAGGTCAGGGGTCGTAGAGTTTCAAGATCCCTGCCACTCTGGAAACGGGGGGGTGAAGTGGGACCTTTTATTTCTTTCCCCCCCCCCCCACCATCACCGTTTCTCCAGAAAAAGACACGTTCCTTCCCTAACGCATCGAAGCAGTTCCCCTCGCGTGCCCGTCTCGTGCTATCGACGCGTTTGGGGGAGTGGGTGTTGAACCGCTCGCGCACAGGTGCTCCGTGTGTAGGGAGACAGAAACGCCCGAGTCAGGTCATTCACTAGGAACATTCGTTAATGCCAGAAGCAAGAGGCTTCACATCACTTCACCTGCGAATATCCCAGGAACGGGCAGGTAGGGGAGCAGAGTAACCCGTCTCGCCTTCTTCTGACAACAGCTGACAAGCTTTCAGTCCGACTCTGTCCAGTGGTGGTTACTTCATTGTACTGGATTATTCAGCACTGTCTATCACAGCCCCGTGTCTCCGGGACTTGATCCAACACTGTCCTTTCACTGGAGTGCTCCTGCATTGCTAATTTCCCATTCCAGTATTTTTCCACGGGATTTCTTTTCAGTAGGCAGCAAGTGAGAAAAACAGTTAAAAGTCAGATGCAGCCCTGAAGAGAGTCCGCAGTCTGCGTGTGTCTTTGAAAGGTGTGATTCATGTTTCAAAGGTTGTGATAGGTTAACTGTGGGTGTTAGCCCTTTCTGAAAACTTAGTACTGCAAGGCCGTGTGGGCATGTTCTGAATTATGAAAATAATACCAAAACAAATAGGAAAACCTTGTCTTTTATCTCTCTCGCCACTGTTGCCAGAGAAAGATACGCTGCTGTCAGAGGCAAATCAAGAATTACACTCAGGGCTTCCAGAGCAATTTAGATGCACACTGTTTAACTGCATCTATAAAAGGAAATTATGGTTCTTCCACTTTTTCCATTAAGGCTAAATTACCATTTAAGAGCAGTTTTCATTCGTTTGACAAAAGGTGTCATAAAGTAAATAAAAGAAAAATTAAAAGGATGAATGTGTGTTCCCTCTCTGTCTCTTTCTCCATAATTGGGATGGATAAAATTCAGTTAGTTGTTTATATAAACTTAACATTTTTCATGTTTTAGTACCAAGTACTGGGTTGAAGATTATTCCCGACCAGTTTTGTTTAATTCTTTACATCTGCTTATTTTCAAGGTGTCATGATGCTGAGTACTTTCTTGCAGGCAAAAAAAGCAGGGGGGTACAGATGGCTTAGATATATTCTTTTTTAAACCCCCCTAACGGCATAATTGTTATTAGACATTTCAGCTCTTGTTTTAACAGCTCTGAGAACGAGCAGATGTTGGCACTGCTTCGTGTGACTTAGTGTGAAAAAACCAGAGTGGCATTTTTTTCATTGTTTGACTCAATATGGTGAAGTTGCCCGCTTTGCTAGGGAGAAAAGTGCCAGGGATGATATACATTTGCTCTTTTTAATTCAAACATTCACTGTTTCTTTTAAACCCTGACGACTAAGTGCTGCAGAACGAAACATTTTAAGACCAGCCCAAGTGACATCTGCCCCGACTTCCTTTATGACAGAGAAGCTTAAACACTGCTGGGGACTTCAGCTCACTAATGGACATGGCTGTAACAGGGGTCAAGGCCTTCTCTACTGCCTGCCCAACTCATGCTGTATTTGTAAAGGGATATTGACTTGGGCGCAACATTTTAGCTCATTTCAGAAAAATGTACCATTAATACCATGGAAACTAGCAAGGTGTTATAACACCTCATTTATCTCCACCACTCATTTTGATTTATGTGGTATTTTTACTATAATGAAGTGCTGCTGTAAGGGAAGCTTGAAGATCAGTTGCATTACCAAGCAAGTTAGTTTGTACACTTCATAGCCTATATAGGTCACCGGAATCTTCCTTGCCCACATAAAGCTCCTCTTTTTCAGATTGAACTATTTTTATTTCACTGCTCACGCACTGGTAGTGTTTACATCAACCTACAGCGTGAGGTTCAGTAAATTAGCACAGATAATGGGGTTGTCAACGAGCAAGACATCAAAGGTCTGCTCACTCAGTAGAGTATGTTTTAAAGTTTTTTTTTCTTGCTTTAAAAAATCAAGTCTTTTGCCTTTTTTTATACAAAAGGCACTTTGCATCATCAAACAAATGGGCAAACCTAGGACAACTGAGCCTGGTCATCTGTACCTTTGCCCTGAAGAATGAGTGTGTGCTTTTGGGCTGGGAAGACTATAGGTGCTGTGGGTTACAGAGCAGCTATCACCTTCTAAAGCATCACGTTACCAGAAATACTTGACTGTGCAAAGTGACACAAGCCTAGACCACAACAGAGGAAAGGACCCTTGCAGCAATGAGTCAGAACCTCAAGCGGATACTATTTCAGTTTGCCGTGGACTCATAGATTTGATTCATTAGTTGTTTTTAAGAGGAGACATTCAAAACCTGAACCTTCAAATACAAACGCTGGACCAATGTGTATGTAATTATTGATTACGTTTATTGATCTGCCTTGCACTATCATCCTCTTTAGCTTTGCAGACGTCCTAGATATTACTGATGCTGTACAGGGTTAATGCACAAATGCATGAAGAGCAAAAATATCATAAGTCCCTTTTTTTAAACAGGAACCTGTTTTTTTTGTTTACAGTTGTAGCAGTAGCTGAGTAAAAAGGTTAAATGTGAACATCCACTGAGAAGCACAGAATACCTCAACAATAGCCAAGAAAGTCTGCTTATTTCGTTCTGACATTGTCTTGGCCAGATTTATGTGCTTGCAGTTATATTAAAGATTCTTTCATGTCTTATATTCTCCTTACTCTTCTTCTGTAGGTGGGCTGCAACAAGGTGTACACCAGCACTTCAGACGTAATGACACACGAGAACTTCCATAAAAAGAATGCACAGCTCATCAACGATGGCTTCCAAAGGTTCAGAGCCACTGAAGATTGTGGCACAGTGGACTGTCAATTCTATGGGCAGAAGACTACACACTTTCACTGCAGGTGAGCTAGCCTAATAAGCTGTAGCTTAGAGACTGTTTTTTTTAATGCATTCCCACATTAGGTTCACCTAGAAAAAAGCAAATGTTTTGTAATCATCTGACAATGACATCTGAGTCATCATTACACACTGAGGTTTAAAGCACAACATATAAAAATGAACCTCTCTTGAGCAACTATCTTATCATTTTCAGTTAAATGTTTAAAAATGGTGTTACCTTCATGGTGGCAATATGAGGTTTTTAAGAATTCAAGACTTTTTATCTATTAAACTTAGCAGATTTCCTTTAATAGCATTAGAGGTTAAAGGCATCTAATTATGGTTTTCATAACAAAACATTTTGTGTTCAAAACGGATGTAGCTGCAAAGGAGGTCTCTGCAAACTGGTGTTAATTAATCAGACAATAGCAGGGGCCCTAGGCGTGGTGTACTGGCTGTGTGCAAGAGCAGCAGTAGGTACCTTCCTCTGCTGTAAGGAAAGTAACAGTTTAACTGGAATGTGAAAAACATGCTTGTTTGTAAAACACCCAAGAAAACATGAGCCTGGTGATGATTCATGTAGGATAGGATTAGGATCAAATCTGATGCAAAAAGAGATCCAGATAATACATCCTCTGTGAAACATTTCATAAGCCATTAGTACCATGAGCACTTGCACTCCATTGATTGTGCATGAAAGGTGTCTTCTCTTCACCTATGAAGCAGGTATGCCACCTTTCCATCATTGTTGGTGTTTTTTTATCTAATTTGTCTTCCCTTTCCTTTTTGCCTATTTACAGTATAGAGGATAAAAGTAATAAAGGGCTTTGATTCACCTGTGAATCTCCTTTCCCTCTCCTCCTCCTTCTCCCCCCTCCCAAAATCAGGCGCCCCGGCTGCACCTTTACCTTCAAAAACAAGTGTGACATCGAGAAGCACAAGAGCTACCACATCAAGGACGACGCGTACGCCAAGGACGGCTTCAAGAAGTTCTACAAGTACGAGGAGTGCAAGTACGAGGGCTGCGTCTACAGCAAGGCCACCAATCACTTCCACTGCATCCGGGCCGGCTGCGGCTTCACCTTCACCTCCACCAGCCAGATGACGTCCCACAAGCGCAAGCACGAGAGGCGCCACATCCGCTCCTCGGGCGTCCTGGGCCTGTCCTCCTCCTTCCTGGTGCCCAAAGAGGAGCCCGACGACTCCAGCAACGACGACCTGATGGACTTCTCCGCCATCAGCAGCAAGAACTCCAGCCTGAGCGCCTCGCCCACCACGCAGCCATCCTCCTGCGGCCCCCAGCTGCTCCCCACCCCCACCACCGCCGTCGCCTCCAGCCAGACCATCAAGCCCACGGCCGCCCTCCCGCCCGGCGGCAAGGTGCCCAGCATCCTCTCCCCGGCCCTGCCCAGCGGCGTGCCCGTGGCCCTGGCCCTCTCCAGCCAGGGCCTCTCCGGCGCCAGCCCCTTCTTCCCGCTGCTCCCCCGACTTCCCCTCCAGCTCCCGGCCTCGGCCGCCGGCATCATCAGTGCTTCCAGCGCCCCCCCGGCGCCCGGCGCCGACCCCCAGAGCGGCGCGGCCCAGGGGGAGGCGGCGGCGGCGGCCACCCCTTCCTCGCTCATGGCCACCTCCATCATGGAGAAGATCTCTGCCAGCAAGGGCCTGATATCCCCGATGATGGCCAGGCTCGCAGCGGCCGCCCTCAAGCCAGTGGGCGCCGCGGACGCAGGTGGGTGAACAAGACGGGGGATCTGGGGCGCGCGCTCCGTCGTGGTGTGGCCTTGCCCGTGAGCTGGTCAGATTGAGTTCCGGTAGGTAGCAAGTCTGCAGGCAAAGGAAAGGCCATGCAGCTTCAGGATAACGAGAAGAGGAGGCATTTGCTCACCTGCACTGTCAGGGTCAAAGCCATTAGGAAAGTGACTCTGTACATCATCATTTCTATCGTGCCCTGTATGGTTTTCTAAGCATTTAGGTGTTTTGGTATCAGGTATTTTGTGCTGTAGTGCAAGGAGATTACAAAGTGTCATTGGAGCGACATCTCTCTCTTGTCCTCAGTGAACTTTGAGAGTCTGTGTGGAGTCCGGCGTGTACATTTTTTTTTGTCTTAGTAGTAGGATAAGCACTGACTCCGGTGTCTGAAATGTAAGCTAATGTAATAGAGGAAGGCCCAATTTCAAGTGATACGAACACACAATTAAAGACGACAAAAACAACTCTTCAACGCGGGACATTTTCCTCCCTCCCTGAATTGATGACTGAATTGATACCTACATCACATCAATAGATAAGTGTGCTGGCGGTAAATAACAGACCCTCTTAAATCCCCTAATAACATTGGGGAGATGCTCTTGGGGCCTGAGTTATACATGTATCCTCATCATTTTTCGTCTTATCACTGCCTGCCTTCGTTCTGAACAAATGGAAGCCGAATAAAATTACGTCCAGAAATTGAAAGTACAAAACATTTTTTTATGCAAGCTGAAATAAAAGCAGAAATCATTCAAGAAGCAATTACGCTGAGCTCTTGGGATACCTGGGAGCCAGCAAGGCAGTAGTCCAATGGTGTTCTCCTTTGCCTCGCATTTCAGATGGGAAAGACAGTCTGTGGTTCCTCCTCGTCTTCAAAATTACTCCTACAAACATTCTGCTGTCTGTCTAGTACTGATGCGCAACAAGATGATTCTTAAACTAATGGGCCCTTGTATCGTAGATGGTAATGCATCTACCTGTCCCTGTTTGCATGCCCCATTAATTTGGAAAGACCATTTTTCAAGGTGCACTGAAGTGGACTTGTTACAACCAATTAGGACCGGCGCAGTTCTCACTGTCCTCTTCACTAGAATTGACGGCGCTTCAGCAGTTTGGTCTGTAATCCTTTGCATCCTTCCAGTCAGGGAGGACGCTGGAAGGCCCTTTTTCCCACCCTCTCCAGCTCGTCCCCCATCTCCTTGGTAACCCGAGTCTACCTTGAGACTGTGGCATCAGATCCCATCGCAGCCTCTTGCCTTGCAGCACACCTTGCTGCGACATGCAGGCAGCTTCTCCCTCAAGGGACCCCGGGGCAGGTCCTTCCTGGTGCATATCTGCTCGGCGGAGTCGGGCAGGGGGCAGGTCTGCAGCTTCACGAAGGCAGGGGTTACTTGCCCTTTCTGTTACAGGGGTGCGCTGTTCACTGGGGAGAGATCAAGGGGGAGAGAAAGTGAGTCCGCAGGTAGAGAGAAAGGAGGAACGCAGCTTCACATGGCTCGCCATGTGGTCGTTGTGGGTGCCCCCCTTTAATTAGGGTGCAGTAGGGGAGGAGAAGCTGCCGTGGTGCAGGTCAGAGGGCAATGGCTCAGTCCATGACTTCAGAGGGAGGAGAACATTATAAATCAGCCAGCTGCTCGGATCGCAAAATAAAGCATAACGCTACAACCAGTGTAGAGAATTGTCTTGCTGAGGATTCTGTGTCGGGTGCTGCAACATTAAACAAGTCTTCAGGCTCCCAGCTGCTCTTACTTCACAGCAGATTTCCTTCTTGAATTGAACTGACTGAGTGCCTGTGCTGTAGCAACCTGCAGAGTTGCACACTTTCCTGTTTCACATTTCTCAATTAGCAAATGTGTTAAAAACTATTTAGCCCAAGAATATAAGCTTTAGAACTTGTTCTCCACAAACTTTCTGTGGCACGAGAACATGCCTTTAGTTTGTTTTGTTCAGTGTGGCCTTTACCAAGTCACACTTTATGCCATGAGTAAGAAGTTTTGTACAGTATGTTAGCCTCCTCTAGAGTGGTGTGGAATGACAGCATAAGGCTTTTTATCTCAGGTTGGTCATTTGACTCATTTTGCTAGTTAGTAGTAAGTGCACTGATGTCGAGATCTAAATGTTAAGGAATTAAGTGTTGGATTAAATCTGAGATTTGGGGAACAGTATGATTTTGAAATAACTAGACAACTTATATATTGCAGAATATGGCTTTGTTTGGTCAGTCTGTTGATATTTGTTAACATAATTTCATTTTGAAACATTCTTCCATGTCTGTAATAGAATACATACATACATATTTGTTGCTCTACAAAAGAACTTTATCCATTATGTTTTTGTTTCATAACACCTTAGCTGGTAATATAAACGAGGCCCATTACAAAATGGGCCAAGATAAAGTTGTTTTCAAGGCCTCTTAGCAATTTTAGAAGAACCGGTTCCAAGACTGACATTATTTCACAGTAAGCTTTCAGCTGACAGAACGGCTGCTGGAAATTAGGTGTTACTGATCTGGTCAGATATACCAGCTTTGCATAATAACTGGTAAAATGCCAGGCAGGAAAACAGGCTCTCTCAACTTCAAACCCATCAGTTGTAAATGAAGAAAAACCACAAATCACATTATGTTGTTTAGATGTCAGGGAGACATGGGCTCTCCCAGGCTTTTGCTTTGCCGTGTTGGAAGTTGTTCCATTTCTTCTGGTGTCCAAGCACACTGCGAATGATACATTTTATGCAACCCACAATCCCAGTGGGAGATCTGTGCGCTGTTAGAATGCGGCTTTCACTTCGCTGCTGAATTGTGCTTCTTTTCTTCATGTATTTTATATCTGAGCTGGACAGTTTCATAAAACAGGAAGAGGAAGAGTTGAGTGGCAATACCATGGCTTTGTCTTCAACGTGTGAAAGATCTCAGACTATTTTAGGTGTTCTTCAAGCCCGTTGGAGGGAGGTGATTCAGAGTGGTTAACAGCTAGTGAATAAGTTGCAATTTTATTAAATTTGATACAGTGTTACGGTGCAATTTAATTAGATCATGCAGTTGCTGCTTATGTGCATTGGCTGTGTTTTTGCTGGAGACAGCTATGTAAGTGGGATGAAGTTACATACAGAATAGAAGATTATTGCATTAAAAAACACAGATATTCCTGTTCGGTTTCTGTTAATCTCTGTCTGTTTTACTTCGGGTGTTGTATATGTTTATTTTATTGGTCTTTCACACCAATTTGCCCAAAAGTGTTTTTCCTAGTTGTGGTTTTTTAAAAAAAAGACCCAGACATCTTAAGGGTATACTAATTAGACACGCTGTTACAAATGATCTCTCGCAAGCATTGTAACTTACCAGGAGTAATTACATGGTAGAGCATCGTTCCTGGATAACTTCCAGCAGAACATTGCTTTGAGATCAACTCAGTTATTTTGTGTGCTGTTTCTTTTTTGGTCTTTGGTAAATTTGTTAAGACAGCTGCAGTCCAGAGACATTTTTTTAATTGATTTCCTCTGGTTTTTCTCCAACAAATGCTGCCCTGCCATCGTTTCTGCACTAAGGGCAGAAGCAGTCTTCTGGTACTTCTCTGAGTTTCTGACATAGACAGTAGACAGAGGCTACCCCACCTCTGCATGTGTTCAGTGAAATAGGTAAAAAAGGGCAAACCCAGGGGCACTTTCTGTCCCAGCCCTCATCTGGGCCTGGAAGGCTCTGTGCAGCTTGGCGTGAGATGGGTCGATCTGTTTATCCAAAGGCTATAACTGTTGATCAATGACCGAGCTGGATTTGACACCCATACTGCTGTGTGCTTAGATGGGGGCTGTGGTGGATTAACCTCACCCATTGTCAAAACAGTTTAAACCTACACCAGTGACAAAACAAGACTTATTTCTTACATTGGAATAAAATAACCCACTTTTCTCTTCATATTTCATCCACTGCCTTGTAATGAAGTCCAGGCCACTCATGGGAAGTCTCTGTTTTTGCAGTCGGAGGATTGGATATGTGGGTATAAACTTCTATTTCCATCTAACCGGGCCTTTGGCCCGATAATACAGAGGGTCTTCCTTCTTCATACTGATCAACAGAGCACATCAGAAGAGAACCAGAGAACCTGTCTGCGGTAGACCAAGCGCAGAGAAAGCTAAAGCTATTGACTCTTTGCCTGTCGAAACGCCTCACCAACCTTTTTTCAGTGTCCTCATGGCTTCTGAAACTAATCACTGCTGATTCACTAAGCACCCGATTCGAAAGGTCGTGCCAGGGACTGCTTTCCCATTCCTTCCTTTTTTAATAAAATACCACTTACTATCTACAGAAAAGCATGGCTTTCTCTCTATAGCCTGAGGATGAATTAATATTTTAGTCACTTGGGGATTGTGGAAAGAGCCGGGGCGCATATTCCTGTCAGCATTTTTCCCTTTCTCCTTTCTTTCCCTTTTTTTTCACTACTGCCTCACTCCACACATCCACAAAATACCTATCCAGGAAATCCGATCGAGAGGTCACGCTATTTGAACTGATCTGATTGGCTGTCAGCTTCAATCTGACTGACATGGCAGATGTTCCTTTTGGGCATGCTCAGTCTTGGTTGCCCCTGTCCGTTGCTGGGGTAACGAGGACAGCTGACGATGGAAGGGGAGGGGGGTGACCAGTCTGAAACTGCCACTTTTCCTCAGCGTTAGCATTGCATTTAATGAATAGTTAAGAGGCAGCCTTGCAAATGAGTTATGACAAGCGCTGCTGAAAAAGGAGTCTTTTTCCCTCATTCTCCCCTTTCTCTCAATCACCGTTTAAAAGCCCGGTAGCTCTGACGGCCTGACATAATTTTACAATAATTATCACTCCAAGTATTCTTTCAGCTGGGACAGAAGTCAGGTCAGATCTCGTCACGGGGAAAATAGTGCTGACCAACAATAACTTTGTTGTTTTTCTCTTCCTGCTCTCCTCAGGGAATGGGCAGTCAGCTCCAGGAGGCCGGTTTAATCTGGTTCAAGTGAAGCAGGAGCCTGTGGATACCACCTCTGGAACATCCCAAGATTCCCTGCAGGAACATAGCTTGGACCTGAGCAAGAAAGATCACAGGTAGAAAAAACACAGCCTCATTGCAGGAAGCACTAAAACCTAATAAGCACTAACACCCCACTAAAAACCCTAAATGGCTCTTTATATAAGTATTTTCTATTAAGAAAGAGGTCTGACATCCGATTGAACATCATCTTGTATCCAGTCCAGTCTGTCTGTACATGCCCGTTAACTTAGGCTAATTTGCACATGGACTTGTGCTGGGAACTGGATTCCTGTTTGGTTTGTGTAGCCCATGTTGAGGGTGGGGCAGCCAAGCTCATTCACACATCCAGCATGTTTTAGAATTATTATTAAAGTCAACGTGAAAATGTTGTTAACGAGACGGTTAAAGACAGGAAATAGAATTGGCTGCCCATAAATTCTGGCATACCTGTGTTACAAACAAACTCTGCAAAGCTCATGTTATCAAATACCTGGGGATGAGGATGAGGATGAGGATGGTGTGTCAGGATTTGATATTTACTGCACGTGACAGACATCAGGCGAATATGAAGCAGGGGTTTTAATTAATTTATTCAGTATTAAATTTCTTCTGTGTATCTCCTAATCCTTCAAAATTACCCTGTTTCTTTGACTTCACTTCAAAGGGGCAGGGAGGAAGGTGTGAGGTCTATATTTTCTTTAACCCCAGGTAGAATTTCCTAGAGTTATTCCCTGAACATGAAAGTGCTGATGCGACTTTGAACCTTACCCCAAGTTCCATTTTATTCCGTAGCCTTTCTTTAAAAAAGCTGTTTTTTTCCTTCTGTTTTTACCAAGTCCGTGATGAATGTTAATATTTACTGTTCTCATGCAAATCTTGACTAAACATTGTTCATTTTCCTTGTTCCAGTAATGAATCAAATGGACACCCTGTTCCAGGAAATACATCTCTTTTATCCTCGCTTATGAATAAGGTAAGATCCATCCATCAAACTGCTTTCAACCCAAGACAAATTAGCAGGACACAGAGGGGGCTGTTTGTTTTTTAATGTTTCACCGCTAATAAGATGAGTTTGTACCATTTAAATTTTCAAGCCATTTTTCATACAGCATAATTTCTGCCCACCGCTCACAAATTAATATAATGAACTGGTAGTGGGATGCAATGCCAGACATATAGAGACGTTTATTTTTTGATGAGCTGTTTTGAACCGTGCGTGTGATTTTTTTCCCCCTGTTTATTTATGGAGTTTGCAAAATTATTTGCTTAAGAAGAAAAAGAAAAGTCAGCTTCATTTCGCCAAAAATGAAGGATGAGCAGCAGTCTCAGAACCAGGGGATATTTCAAAGCTGTATGTTTTTGTGGGAATAAAGATAGACTTGCTTTTAATCATCCACCTCTTCTAGGTGGAGAATATGTGCACTATGCATTACCCGGGACTAGCTAAGGGGGTGTTGCGTAGTTCACCATATCAGTGAATGCGTGCGGACAGAGTTGGGGGGTCAGGGTTTGGGTGAGCCCCACTGTAGCTGTGGCCATTGAGGAGCACAGTGTTCCTGCATCGGTCACTGGGGAATCCTTGACATTGTCACCCTTCTCCTCGTTTCCTAAAGAGGAAATCTGTATGGAATTCCATCCAGCATGTGCACAAGAGCAGGAACATGCAAATGCACTATTTACATAGGGCCATTGGTCCCATTCGGCCATTTTCTATGTACGTACAGTGTAATCTGAATGCTGCTGTGTAATAAACAATTACTGTCTACCCTTCTAATGTAAAACAACATGCTGCATCAGAGTAACATGAGCATTTAATCCTATTCCTGACCATAAGGCTACTTTGTGAATTCCCATCATCATAAAATGTTTTAAAAAATGGCATTTTAAATGTATTCAAATCCGACCTGTTTTGTTCAGTTAAACAATTTTTTTTTTAAATAGTGGGGGGGGGGGGGGGATCACCGGGGTAGCTGGGGGTGTAACCTCTCTGGGTGTCCCGTCCTGCAGATGTCGCAGGTGAACCCAGCATTCATCAGCGCCCTGAGCCTGAAGACGGAACTGGAGGGCAGCCAGCCCGGAGACAGCTCGGAGCTGGCGCAGTACCTGAGCAGAGTCATGAAGGTGCCCGTGCAGGAGAAGCCCGTGGAGCTCTGGAAGACCTACCTGAGAAGGTAAACCCTCGGCTTTTGCTTTTTAGTTCATGTTGTTTCTCTGCGTTTATCTGAAACGTCGTACCCCCACACATCCAGTCGGAACGCAACTGCTCGTCTTGAGGAAACAAAACGATCGATCGATTAATTCGATCACATTGCATTCGGCACATGTGGCTCGCTTGGTTCCTAAAAGCTTATTGATCCAAGGTCCTGCCGTTTCTTGAAAGAAATCAGGCTAAGTGTGGCTGGGTAGCTCCTTCCACATTCCTGCAACCCTCAAAACAGCACTTCACCTTAGTATCCTCACGTGTCCTCTGGTTTGTTTTTCACTTGTGAAAAATATACGTACATCATTTTTATTCTAATTATTATATGTCTCTTGTTCAAAGTATGCAAACTATATATGGTTTTTATATTGTTGTTGCGTTCTTAAAGTTTAGCTTTGACTCCACAACACATTACCTAGCAGATACGTCTTGGTATCTTTTTGAATCAGCTCATGGACGTTTACTGTAAATGCGATGACAACGTGATGTAATGTGAAGAAGCACGCTGATCGCTGTCTGGGTTTTTCAGTTTTCTGAGACGAATGAGCCATAAGCTCGAGCAGTTGACAGAGTGTGTTTTTAACTCAACCTTTTCCTGTTAGGTATGACACCGAGGACTTCTGCGAGGCGCAGTGCGACTTCTTGCACAAAGTTCATTTCCACTGCCTGGTGGAGGACTGTGGGGCACTCTTCAGTACCCTGGACGGGGCGGTCAAGCATGCCAAGTGAGTCAGGACACTCCGTCCCCGGGGCGCGGCCGTCAGGTTTCCATACTGACTGCGCCAGTACCGCAGAGGGAAAGGGCTGCGGAATTGCGAAAAGAGGATATTTTTTTTTCCCAGGGCTGTCCTGAGCTGTCCATAAAAAGTTTTAACTCAAACATTATGGACCTGCTAAGTGAGTGGCACCTTAGCCTATGGTGATATTGCAAGATTTCATTAAAATCAGCCTCTTACCATGACACCCAGATTAGGCAACGCTCAGAATAATAGTAAATGTTGTAAAGAACCCCTGGGGTGAAATAGATTTAATTTTCAGTTCCTCTTGTTTTTCTTTGACTGTAGTTCTCTAAACGAGTCACCGCCATGCATAGAGAGCGTGTTTTCCTTTTAGCTTGTGTGCTGGACAACTGACACAGCGCCGCGCGTGTCCCTGTGTCTCCAGCTTCCACTTCCGGGCCGCCCTGAAGGTGAAATCCGAGCCCCTCGTCGCCCAGGCGGGCGAGAGCAAGGACTCCGCCGAGGGGGCACCCCACCAGCCCCCCTCCTCCGTCTCGGCCGCCATTTCCACCGCCATGGACGTGCCCACCATCACCCCGACAAGCGGTTTTGGATCCGCCCCGTCTCTCCTGGCCTGGAAACACATGACTGGCATCTCCCAGCTGCCGCCTTCCGTGCCCAGCCTGCCAGCCACGTCCCTCCTGGCCACCACGTCCCTGGAGAATGCCAAACCACAGGTCAAGCCGGGCTTTCTTCAGTTCCAGGACAAGTAAGTGGGCCAGAGGACCAGCACAGCAACAGAACTAAGAAAGGGTACAAACAGGAGAGGACCATTCGGCTAACACAGCCTGTCCGTAGTTAGTGATTTATTGATCCAAGGATCCCATCCAGCCATTTTGTGAATGAAACCTGAGTATCAGCTTCAACAACACTCCTGTTCTCAGTCTTAAATGCACCTCCACATTTCTGCTTGTGCTCTCTGGTCCGAGTTTTTCAGGGTTCGTTCAGAAGAAGCCCATTGGGTTGATTGTGAGTACAAGTTGCAGCCCCTCGTAGTCTTCGCTGTCCAAGTGGGAAGATGTTCAGTTCGTTCAGCCTGTCAGTGAAGGTCATTCCCTGGAATGTGTCTGGTTGCTGTTCTCTGGACAAATTCCATAGAATTCATATACTGTAATTATAACATGGTGACCAAAATTGTACACAGTATTCAAAATGAAATTTAAAATACTCTAAATTGACACTCATTGTGTGCTCTATGACCGGAAGTGGTGTGAAGAGAATTTGCAAAGTTGGTTACTTCTTCCTCAGCTGCAAGTGTTCAGGATAGGTCAAAATATCCCATAGACACCTTATGCTGTGGAACCACACTGGAGTGGAGTTTTTAAAGCTCGGCAAACAAGTCCTTCTTCACCTCTGCTTCCCTGACTTGTAATTCTCTATGCTGTTGCTTTCCAAAAACCTACAGGTATAAGTACCATAGTAAAGCCCTCTCTATGCCTGTCATTCTGCATCCTTCCTGCAGCTCTTCTCCACCTGTACAGCCACCCCTTGATTAACTCTGCAGGGGGTCCTGGCCTCCCCCTCCTCTGTGGGTGAGTGGTCAGCCCTCGGCCAGGCCAGGCTGGGTTACACCAAGCCTCGTGACTATGGCTCACTTCTCAAGAAACACTCCCAAATGCAGTTTGATGTTGAGTGTTGTTATTCCTCTTGAATCACTGCCTGACTCTTCCGATAGCAGAGTCTTTGGATGCACGTGTACAGGTGAACGAGAGAGGATTTGCTGAAAGTCCGAGTTCTAGAAAGGAAAACTTCAGTCGGTCATTAGCTGGGTGTTGTCCAGCAGAGCGAATAGCACAGCCCTTGGGAGCTTAGTGGTACTAGGCTGCAGCCAGCTCTCTTATGGAATTTCTGCTGAAATGAGACCACATTTTGTGCAACACGTGGTGGCAGCAGTGGGAAAAGCAGAGTCCAGTGTGGGTGGAAATGTTACACAAAGCTGCCCTTTGCACACAGGCTGTGGGGTCCTTCCCTGACAGGCCCTGGCCTCATGCTGTGTAGAGGAAGTTTGGGTTCTTTCTGAGGGCAGTGATCCTGGGTTAATAGCTCTACAAATTACCAGGCAACATTCAACATCTGCAAAGCCATCGAGACCACTGAGTGATGACCCTGCCTGTGGAATAAATGGCCCACTTTGAAGTTACTTATGGTGTAGACTCTTGCATAGCTTAGATTTCCTGAAGCAGTATTGTATGGGGCTTCATGTCTTGTTTTTTATTGAACTATTTTTTCTCTTGAGTTTACCTAGAAGAGGAGTCCCTGAGAAATGTAAATTTAAGAGATGCTGTTGTTCATAACTGCTCAGTCACAAAGTAGCAGATGACACACACTGTTGTACAATTATTATCACTGAGCTTTCATCTTCATTATTCCCAAAATTATGTATAAAGCTCTTTTCCTTATAATCTTATCATTGGACTAATTTGATTTGGGATAACTTACTAATGGTAAAAGTATCCATTTGTCATTTTGGAAATGATAAAATAAGCTTTCTTGTGGTAACCAAGTGCTTCCGTTTTCTTCTTTCTGGCCTCGTCTTTTATGCAGTCTCCTGTTTATTTTCAGAGGATCAATCCATTGAACAGATTCTTCAGTGTTTTGTGTTGTTTTGGCCTTCCAGTGATCCTTGCCTAGCCACGGACTGCAAATACGCAAACAAGTTCCACTTCCACTGTCTCTTCGGAAACTGCAAGTACGTGTGCAAGACCTCGGGGAAGGCAGAGTCGCACTGCTTGGACCACATCAATCCCAACAACAACCTAGTCAACGTGAGAGACCAGTTCGCATACTACTCCCTGCAGTGTCTGTGTCCCAATCAGGTGAGAACGCCTCCGGCTCCGCAGGTGGTTAGGCTGAGTGGTTTAAGGTTTTTGTCCTTCTCGGCACAAGGACCGGCCCCTCTCCATATCCCGCAAAACCTTCTTCTTCTGTCTGAGTGCATCTTAAGGAAGAATCGCTCCCCGCCCCTCAGCACCCCTCTCAACTCCCCGTTCGGAAAACATCTGATATTCATTCATTTATGCGTTTAGACCCCTGCCCCTAGACGTACCCTCCCGAGATGAGCACATCTTGTTAGTCGTTCTCCTGTGGGACGCACAAGCAGGGAAACAGATGGCAGTTTGGAAACAGGTTACAGCGAGTGGGGAAGAAAGCTGGCTGTGTAAATTAGAGACAGTTTTAACAAAGCGTTACAAGGCTCCGGACCCTTGCGGTTGGCACCACGGTGTGTGGAGGGGGGGGGGGTGCGTCTGGAAATTTGCCTGCGGTCTTGGCTGGAAGGAGGGTAGGAGGCCAGTGTCGGGTCGGAGCGCAGGGATGTGAACAATCTTTAAGGGTCCAAGAGTACCAGCACTCTTTCGCTAGAGGAGAGGAATTTGCGGCACCTGTAGAGAACCCTGACTTTATTCACCTCTAATCATTTTGTGTTGATTTTGCTTTTTGACAATTTCTCCACCCCCAACTCCCATCTAGCAATGTGAGTTCCGGATGCGGGGGCACTACCACTGCTTGCGCCCGGGCTGCTATTTCGTCACCAACATCACCACCAAGCTGCCTTGGCACGTAAAGAAACACGAGAAGGCAGAGCGCCGGGCAGCCAACGGGTTCAAGTACTTCACCAAGAGGGAAGAATGCGGCCGGCTAGGTAAGAGCCGAAGGGCAAAGGGCAAAGGGCAAAGGGCAAGAGAGGAAGGGCATTGAGGCGTCTCCTGGTGAGCTGGCATTACCTGCTGCCAGGCCCTGAAGGGTGGAGCGCCCTGGCTTGACACGGTGCTCCAACTGCATGTCACTCCCCCGGGTCTCGGGGCAGATCCACAGGGGGCCCCGGCCCGAAGTCCCCCCTCTCGCAGCCTGCTGTCCACACCGCTCTGGGACCACATGGGGACATCCTGCAGGAGCAGCTCTTTACACACAGCACACCAATTACACAAGCAGGCAATAAAAAGATCATTCTTTTGCTGGTTTGTATTTATAGATTCTGTGCTGGCTTAGCAACGCTAAGATATCAAGCGCCCCGGAGCACTGCACAGCAAATTCATAGTATTGTGAATTAGTGTTTATTTTAATTATTATTTTTCTGTTTCATGTGGCTATGCGTGAGCCTTAATTTATGTCAATTAAATAAAAATGTACAGAAAATTAATATTTCAGTTTTGCAGGGCAAATGTCATTTCATTTGCCACAAACAATCAGATGAAAATAATCTCACACTTGTGCTCGTTTTCCTTTAAAAGATATATTTATGTAGTATGTAATCAGTATGTTGTCTTTATTTTAAAGTAGGTTTAACTTGACAGGAATGAGCAATTAGACATGTTTAGTTAATTACTGTGCTTGTCTAGCTCGGTTTGTTTGTGCTTCTGCATTTTTTCAAGATTGAATCATCACGAGAAAGGAAAGTTTGTTTTTTTTTCTGTCTTTTGAAGCAGCTTTGCTGGAGGTAGAAGAAAATAATCAAATTGCTATGCAACCGCTGGCTGGTGCCCCCTTTTTTCTAGGTGCTCTGAGCATTGTGTGGTGAAATAAAAACAGAAAAGTTATCAACTCATTGAAGAAACCAAGCAGTCAGTCATAAAGAATTTATAGTTTAAGCAAGCAAGCAGCAGTATCCATGGTAACCATTGTCAACAAAACCTGAGTGCTACCTGAATCTCCCTTTACAAAGGGCCGTTACTGTTATGTAGTCAACTTTGCGTGTTTAATGTGATAGCCGGTTCACACAAAGCAATTTGATGACACATTGCATTGTACGGCACGCTGGGCACCATGGCAACAGACGAGTCCACACCTGCCCTACACGGTACTGTTTCAATTATTTCAGTGTGCTTGATTCGTAATAAAATTATAACTAGCTCGCCACAATATTTGATTAACTTACGAAAACCAGTAACTTAATTTGAATTCATATAGCAATTAGAATCTGTAAGCCTGCTGTAAAAAAAAAAGACGCAGCCATGGGTAGATTAAAAAATTTAATATAAAAATAATTTTGCATTTACTTGAGTGGAACATGTAGACTGGGGGTTTTGCCTCATTGCTTTTCTAAAGCTTTAAATTTATTGATATGAAATTGTTTAAATGCCAAGTAGAATAAAGTATGCCCCAGTAATAAAAGTCTTCCACTTCAGCTTTAAAAACTGAAATACTTTTTCAGCTATCCTGTTGTCTAATTTGGGTGACATTATAATACCGACATTCGTTTTGCTATTAAACATTTTAACTCGTCATGTTTTACAGTCGTCTTTGCAAAATTATGTCTCTTCCTTATAAACATGCTGCAGGTTATTTAGTCAAAGCTATTGAATGTAATTCCCGTTAGTGGTTAATTTTGGTTTCTCTGTAAAATTACAGAAGTAGAAGTTTTTAAAGAAAATGTTCCAGTGTATGATACTTTAAAACATGCATCAATTTTTAGACCTTTGTGTGAAGATAAATTGAATTGATTGGGATAAATAGGAATTGTAATTGAGTGGCAGAAATGAAAATTCAGAGCTGATAGTGAAGATCAGATATTCTTTACCATGGAAGTTCTGAGATTCTAGAGTCCAGTGCCTCTGCTTTTCCTCTCCTCTGTTCATCACTAGCTGGCTTTTAAACTTTCATCTGGATTTAAAGCCTTCAAGCCCATAAGCACCTCTGGCCAGCAAGAAGATGTGGAACAGTGGGCTTCTGTCATATTATTTACCTACACTGTAGGGTTTGTTTGGAAAAACATGAGCCGGAACCTCAGGGACAAAATACTGGACACATCAGAAATCCTGTTAAATCCTGGGCTCGGTACAGCAGTTTTATCAGTAGACTTTCTTTCTAAATCAGGGCCCAGGTGACTTGTGCAATCCCTAAACAGGTTTAATTTAGGTGTGCCTCTCACACCAGTATGAGAGAACACACCCGGGCAAGGACCTTAAAAACAACTAAATATTGAATGGAATGTGTGAGAAAAGTTTTATTTATATGGGTGCCAATATCCTGTATTGTAGGAGCAAGATCTTGCAAATGATCAGTTGCCTGTAGGACTTACAGGTCCGTCATGTTGCTCTGCAAAAAATGTAGCCAGACCTGAAAGCAGACACGAGTGATCGGTATCTGTATTCTAATTATGGTTTAACTAGATTCCGGCTGCTGCCATCTCTCAGATTATTTTTATTTGTGGATAAGACAGTAGTTGCACATTGTCTTCATGCAGAGCTGTTGGACTGTGTAAAAGACTGTCACCTGACGTGACCTTCGAGTTTGAATAATAAAAGTTGTTTTTTTTTTTTTTTTACTTTTTTCTCTTTGCAGGTTGTAAATATAACCAGGTGAACAGCCACTTCCACTGCATTCGGGAAGGCTGCCAGTTTTCCTTCCTGCTCAAACACCAGATGACTTCCCATGCCCGCAAACACATGAGGAGAATGCTGGGCAAGAACTTCGACAGGGTCCCGTCCCAGGTACCGCGACACGCCTGGCCCTCCCGCATGAGGACCCAAGAAGCACTTGCAGTACCAGCTGCACACTGCACACTTTCTGTGTGTGCAGAAAGACAGGCACCTCACATTGAATTACTGTGCACCTGCAGCACGTTTCGGACAGGCTGATTGAGCACGTGCTTGATGTCTGCTTGCAAGAGAATGGGTCAGGCCGTGTGGTCCAGTTCAGCGATAGCAATGCCTGTGCCGTGGGGCCTGAATTGTGGGTGATTGTGCTGGCCGTGTGGGAGTGTAACAGCCTCTCCGCTGCCGCAGGTGGTCTCTCACGCCCAGCGGCAGGACGATGTCCAGAACATGGCGGGCTTGCCGGGCTCCGCGGGCGGGCACTCCGGCCTGAACCCCGGACTCTCCGGCATGGTGGACGAAACCGACGACTACATGGACTACATGGGGGGCGGCAGCCCGATGGGGCTGTCCTCCGAATCCTCGAACCCGGACCGCAGCTGCACGAGCACCCCGGTGGGCAATGAGAGCTCCCCTGCAGGTAAGAAGCCGGCCCTGCTCTTTTTCACATCATGAGAGATCGCAGTTCTTTTTTTTTTCTCTCAGGGGGCCTTCTGTGTCCTTTCCGTGGTGAAGTTAAGGCCTGACGTCCTACTTGCAGGCAGTGGTACATTTTAGAAAACCTGCTGTACATTTGTTTCCTGTGGTTAGTTGTCAGGTGAAAGGCTGATGCTGATGAGTTATCTATCGACTCAATCTAAAAACCAGCAGGCTGAATTGTCACCATATCCAGTGTATAATATCTGTAATCTGTAATTTTCTGACAGGTATCAGACTATAGAATTATAAACTGATTTCTAAGTCCTCAAACCTACTTTCCTCCTTTTTAACCCCTTGCAACTTCATTGCAGTGATGGCGTTAAAAATTACACAATTAAATGTGTTGGGTGTGGTCATTTTGCACAGTAAAGATTAGGGCTGCAGCTCCACCAGTTTCTAAGTCACTGGAAAAATGATGCTAATGATGGCTTTTATTATGGCTTGCCTTCATTTGATGGGCTCATCGTCTGTTTTTTCCTAATGACAGTTTTGTTTTTTAATGTTATCTCCATTTTCATCTTTGTTGCTTGGGCTGTTGTTTGGGTTTTTGTTTCATTTTTTTTGCTTTCTTCCTTTTCTTTTTTTTAAAATGTCTTTCCCTTCTGCCCTACCCTTGTCTGTGCCCCCCCCCCCCCCATTCCTCGGACGGTCTGTCTGTATAGGATCAGGCTCCCTGGTCTCTACACCTGCTGCCTCCACTCCCGCTGACGCTACCTCTACCCACAATGCACCTCAACCTCTGCCACCTCCGCCTCCTCAGCCACAGCTCCAATCTCAGCCTTCATCTTTCCCTCCAGCCCTCCTCCGGCCTCCTCTTCCCTCCCTCCCATACCTCCTGTCTCCATCCTGTCTCTCATATTCTCTGCTCAGCGCCACTCTCGGAGCCACTCGGAGCGTTGTCATGCCAACCAGTACGCCAGCTTACAGTCCAATCATTGCCACTCCGTCTCCGGTTAAAAGTGACGTCCCTATAGTACAGGATGCTGCAGGTACTTGTCCCAAAGAAACAAACAGGTGACCTTGGGTTGTGTACAGTAAGCATAGTACGGGCTTAGTCCCCATGCAGAGACCTTGTCTGAATCCAAAACCTGTTGACTGAATTCAATAATGCCTCTCCAATGGTAGAAAATATAGTATTGTTTTTCTTGAGCCACAGATGGTACCATTTTGCCAGATGGACCAAAAGGCCTCCTCTTGTTTCTAACCTGTCTTACATGTATTTTAACATTTTTGAAAGTTCTGAGTAAAAGAAGTCATGGTGTTAAAGAAAAATCTGTAGCCCTGACTTCGCAGTGCACTGCAATGAAGTGGCTTAGACAGTCATGCTGTTTCTCCGTTGTCCAGAGACCTGCCGTGGGGATAACAGACTTTAGTAGAGGGAGTTTGTGCTAATGCTGTTAGTCTTTTCTCGTGTGTGACATAAAACCACCTCATATCACTTTCAAAGCAGCAGGAAAAATAGTCGTGGTGTGTTATATGTTAAAATATTGTGCTACACGATTGAAGCATTGTAGTTCTGTCTCTGAGTACCGGGCTCACTTAGTGTGACCCCACTGCTTCCTGACAAACACTCATTTTGAGTTCCACTGATTTTAGGAAACCAAAGTTCTGATAGAATAGCTCCCAGCTTCTGATGTCTTCGTACTGAAGGGCAGTGTTAGATTGTGAATCACTGAGGCCCCCCAAGGTGCTGTAGCTCTGCCCAGCTGTTTCCAGCTGCTGTGCCAGCACAGTGGAGAAGGGGCATCATGGCTTTGCTGCACTTGGTACAATGTGTCAAATGTTTTCTGTAAATGTAAAGATCTAATACTGGTAGACTAAAGACTCCTAACATTATTTCTTCTAATATTGGTGTAATAGTTATCATAATCAAAGTTTGTGCATTGCACTTAACAACACTGGATGATTACATGATGTTTCATTTATGTAAGTCAGTTACCAGGGAAGAAAAAACAAAAGTTTATTGGAAGAAAAATGACATTATTCTGCGTGTACTGTACGTTATTATTTTAAATTTGCCCTTAGTCTTCTAGCCTTTTCTTTTACATATGCGTAGTTTTAGACAAATGCACAAATAGATCAACAAATACTTACAGCAGTCACTGTCTTTCCTGACTGTGCAGTTGTCTAATGGGCTTTAGTTTTCTGCAATCTGCTAAGTAAAGCTGCAGAAACGTGCCCCTCATAAACAGCACACCAGGCAGCGCTGCACCATCCATTAACAGCCACTTATTTTAATCGTGTTTAAAGTTTTATCGAATCCATTGATTCCTATACAGCCCGGCAGGCCCTGGGTCACCTCATTAGCAGTGATCTGAGCTGGTCCCGGAAGAATTACCACCCCACCTCTGAAATAAGATCAGATCTTGAAGGGAGAATTAGATGATCCAGTTGTACTACATAAACTTTTATCAGTCAGGTACCAAAAAGCATAATGAACAAAGGGCCTGATCTACATTTGCAAATCTTTAAGCTGCAGAAAGCTAGTTAGGTGGTTCAGGAGGCTATTGCTGTCAGGTGGACACGATTCAGTGCAGCCTGGTTTTTAAGTGTTTTTTCTGTTGCAATTACTCCTTGAATTGCTGAGAGTTTTCTAGACCAAATATGAAATATGTTTTACACATGGACCTTACCCACACAAAACAGGCCACAAAAGGGGAAGATTTCTGATGGACAAAATACATTGTGTGTAGAGAGTGAATACCTGTGACACTGATGATACCCACTCCTCTAGCCCTTTCCCATCAGTTTCCTGTCTAAGCTGGACGTGCTGGTGTGGAGGGGAAGCGACATTCACTTCCCCTCCTGAATGGCTCTGCTGCATTCAGTAAAAGTCAGTCGGCAGTTGCTACATGTAAATGGTGCAGAAAGATTATGCAAACAGGTCACAGAAGTGAAAAATCGAAAGGTATCAGATCAGTAAATGAATTGAGTAAGTGGGGGTTTTTGCTCTTAGGGATGTGGGAAGTGGAACTGAGTTTTGAGATTCTGTTTCTGATCCACGGACCTCCTGGTGTCTGTGTCCACATACTATATAACCTCACAGCACGAAGCACGCGGAAGTGCTCAGGGTATCCGCCGCTGGTTAACGAACGTGTCTCCCTCTCCTTTAGGGAACACCATTTCTATGCCCACTGCCTCGGGAGCCAAGAAGCGCTTCTGGATCATCGAGGACATGTCTCCCTTCGGCAAGCGGCGCAAGACGGCCTCCTCGCGGAAGATGCTGGACGAGGGCATGATGCTGGAGGGTTTCCGGCGCTACGACCTGTACGAGGACTGCAAGGACTCGGGCTGCCAGTTCTCCCTGAAGGTGACCCACTACCACTGCACGCGGGAGAACTGCGGCTACAAGTTCTGTGGGCGCACGCACATGTACAAGCACGCCCAGCACCATGACCGCGTGGACAACCTGGTCCTGGACGACTTCAAGCGCTTCAAGTCCTCGCTGAGCTGCAACTTCCCCGACTGCCAGTTCTCAGGCAACAGCACCCACTTCCACTGCCTGCGCTGTGGCTTCCGCTGCACCGACAGCACCAAGGTCACGGCCCACCGCAAGCACCACGGCAAGCAGGACGTCATCAGCGCCGCCGGCTTCTGCCAGTTCAGCTCCAGCGCCGACTGCGAGGTGCCCGACTGCAAGTACAAGCTCAAGTGCTCCCACTTCCACTGCACCTACCCCGAGTGCAAGCACACCGTGGTGGGCATGTCCCAGATGGACTCGCACAAGCGCAAGCACGAGAAGCAGGAGAGAGGCGAGCTTCCTTCCGTCTCCCCCAGCCGGGAGGGGCTTCTCCTGGCCGGGACGGCTGTGCCCCCCTCCGCCGCCCTGCCCTCCACCTCCCCCGGCGCTCAGGCCCTCCAGCTGGGCAGCAGCTCCGCGTTCGCCCCCGGCCTCGGCGCCCCCTCCGAATACGACCACCAAGGTTCTTCCATTAGCCTGGATGGTTCCCTGAATTTGGGCACCGATGCCAACAGCTCCCTCTTCTTCCTGAAAAACCCGGCTGGCATCGGCCTCAACGACTCTCTGGATCTGAGCAAAAAGATCCAGCACAGCTCCCTGGATCCGGGCAGCTCCAGCGGCCACCCCCTCGGCCTGCCGGTCCCTCAGGACGACACCACCGCCACCTCAGGGGACGCGGAGGACGACCTCTCGCCCGAGGAGGAGATGAACGCGGAGGAAGACGAGGAAGACGAGGACGAGGAGGAGGAGGAGGAGGAGGAAGAGGGGGAAGAGGACGAGGACTTGAACACAGACTCTTACGAAGACTCCGTGCCGGAGGCCGAGGGCCCGGCGGAGGAGAAGGATGTTGGGGGGAGCTTCGATACTTCCACAAACCATGCTGACGCTTCCGGACAGGCTAACGATGAGACTGTCCCGCAAGAATTACTGTGAGCAGTGAACGCGACACACGGGATGAAGATACGTCTTTAGAAAATGAACAAAAGAAATGAAAAGCGGCTCCAGATATAATACTGAGGACACCAACCATAAAAACCGATGGCCCAAAATGATTAATTGCGATGTTTACAAGATGACCAAGATTATTAATTTAATTAATGAGCGAAGCCCACTTGCACACAGGGGGGCTCCAGTGTAAACAGTTTGCTACACATCAATCCTTCTTTGCGTGCGTGCATGTTTGACTTTTATTTATTTCTGTTTTATTTTATTTTTCTAGTGTGTGAAATAAACACCATAAGGGAAAAAAAATATATATATATGTGTGTGTGGATGTTGATATAGTTGCTATACAAAGGAAATTGTTGACGAGTTCATTAAGTGAACTGCTGAACCCTTGCTACCAGTAAAAGGGAAATCACTGTATAAATATATAGAGAGAGATATATATGAGATGACGCGTTGGAATAATTTATTTAAATGAAACACAAAATGCATTATTATTGTTGTTGTTGATGTTGTTCTTGTTATTATTATAATTGAAGTGTGGGGTGCTCTGCGAAAACTGTGGCTTGTGCCCTTTTCCGTTGATCCCTTACAACGTTATTTTCTGTTTTCTGCTCTTTTTTTTAAATACTGTGTTTACTCGTTAGGACAAGGTCTCACTCCTCGACAGTAGCATCGGAGACTTAGTTCCACGAGAGTCGCACACTTCCCTCATCTTCCGCCGGGCTCAACTGTGGCTGAAAACTGTGGCAGATGGCCGTTTTCACAAGCTGAATTTAACTCCGCTCTGATACTGCTGGGGAGAGCAAGGGAGGGCCGCTCGTGCCTCGCCAGTGACTTCCCCGTGCAAGAAAAAAATCAGCCCCCCCATTGATTCGGATTTTTTTCTGACCCCTTCTGAGCCAATCAGTGTGCCCAGCAAATCTCTCTTTGCATGACCGTTCAATGATTTTCATAATCAGTATTGCCTGTTGCCACAATACCAAACTGCATGAGAGCACTCGGTCAGAGATATATTTAGATACTTGATAAGAGAATACACATGAAAACATGACATGTCTCCCTGTGGACATCACCTATAAAACCGCTCACCTGAAAGGGGGGCTTTTGTTCAAAAAGTAGGTCCTTAGGTACAAGTGAGAGTGGCGATGATGCTACTGACCAGGAGTCGAACAGGCCTAGCTTGTCTTCCTCGCCTTTTAGAGTGAACTGTGGGTTGGAATCGGGTATTACCATGGTGAGAGAGAAATACTGTCTGGACATTCAAAAGACAAAAGACACAGAGTGGCATTACGGCGGATTTCAAATGTAGCACGAAACTCTGGTGCAAAGCAATATTGGGGACAGTATTTTAGCACGCTGCCTGGACAGGTTGGGTAGGACGACTCGGTTGAATCTGGGAGGTGGATATACATATAGCAAAAGCGATGCACTTTTGCATAAGCAGAAGTATACGATATAAAATGACAGGCATTGTTAATCTACAGGATTTCCTTGTTCCACTTGTAATTCCAGATGCTTTTTTTGTTTGTGTGAGTGTGTTTTTACAAAGGAAGTCTGCATATCTAATGGGCAAAAAAAAACATTATGACACATTCATTCCTGTTCGGCATTTATTTAACTGAAAAGCTCACATACAGAAGTCACCAGGGCTGTGTTGGGGGATGTAGGCGGGGTGAGGTAATCTGTGTAAGAAATGTACAGAAAGAAAACTGTATATTTTTATTTTTTTCTAAACCATGAGAATGGTTGAACTCAAATTGTAATGGTTTTATTTAATATTTATGTGACCTTGCAATGAGAATTAGGCATTTGTTTTGCACTTTTCTAGGGTCGTTTTTTTACACCATTATAGTACAGCATATTTTAAATCTTGTTTTTAACAGGAAAAAACTGATATAAACTGTTTTGAAATCAGTAAGAAATGATTAGCCAATAGCAGTTGGTGCGACAAAGAACTGTTGTTCTGTCTCTTTATTTAAAACAAAGACTGCTTTTATCCTCTTTCAGAATTGGATGGATTTGTCAGAGAATAAGGCTCTTGAATGTCTCGGAGATGGTCAGTGGAGAAACACTAATGAGGACTGTGATTTAAATTAAATTCCTTATAAAAGAAATTAAAAAGACAAATAGTTATAAAAGAAAAATCCTGCTTTTGTAGCCGAGCCTGTCTCTTGGTTGAAAATGTATGACTGTATCTTTCAAACTCAAGAATGACTATGTATTTTATTGTGTAAAAATAAGGAGCACCAAATATGTCAATAATGAACGTGGTTCTGAAAAAACATGGTGGGTAATCATGTTTGGGTGATTACTTTAAAAAATATTAACAAAAAATGGGTTGTACAGTATTTTTTCTGTAAAGTCTATATATATAGAACAAAATGGTCTTTAAAAAGAAAAAAACTTCCCATAAAACAACAACAAAAAACAATCGAAAAGTCTGAAATAGTCCCAATATAATTTTGGTTGTGTGTGAATTTTTTGAAAATTTCCCCCTTAGACATTAGCATTAATTAGGGAGTTTTCAAACACCCTGATTAGGGCCATGTATGTATTTTAGCACTGATAACAGCTGGGTGATTCAGTTTTTAACTTGAATTTTGTATAAAAATAAGAAAAAATTAAAAATATTTTAAAAAAACTACACAAAAAAGAAGTGCAAATTAGATTTGTTAATATACGTTTTTAGTTAATTTAATACCATGTTTTTGTCATTTTTTGTGTGCTTTTAATTTAATTTTTACTTTTCTGTTTTATTTTTGTGTTTTCTTGGCCTGCCTTTCACATCACTGATTTATTTAAAGCATTTTCTCTCAGTCTGAAACTGAAAAGTAAGTACAGTAATGACTTTGGCAGATTTTTTTTAAGAAATGGATGCACTTGGATGAATTTTACGTGTGTAAAATAGTGAAAATTTGTAAAAAAGTAAAATAAAAACTATGATATAACAGTAAAAAAAAGCGCTAACTGGTGTTTCAGCCTGGGGATGTCATGTGGTGTGTGCGCATGACATCATGACAAGTGTCATCATGTCACAGATGTCATCATGACATGACAAAGGAGCAGCGAAGAAACATGTTGTGTTTGTGCGAGAGAAATTCAGTCTCCACTCTCCTGAGAGTGCAGACCCTCTTCCAGGCTGGCTGCAAGAACTTTCGGACTGCCAGTCATTTTTGATAGCTAGTGCGTCCCTGTAGCAGCAGTCAAGGAATATTTGATGGCAGTTACCTCGACTGCATTTCCTACCACTGTGACATCCCTGACTGAAAAAGAAGAGGCTCTTGCTATTCCAGACCGCAAAGAAAATGTCAAACTGGCGGCGAGGCTTACGGTGCCCATGCTGGGGAAATGAGCCTGTTCAGACTCAGGCTTTGTCCGTTTAGCTTAGTTCTCAGAAACTGACTTTAACGATATTAGAGCAGTTTTTTTTGCCTCCTCCTCCCCACCCCCCATATATTTCTTCCCAAGGACGAACAGTAGTTACATTGTGTATACTTTTGTTTTTTGCTTTCCTTCGTCTGTCCCAAGAGAGATTGAAATAAAACATCTGCTCCTTGCAGATATGGAATCAACAATATTTGTTGTCGTTTTGGTATGGACCCCCCTCCTCCTCCTTCTCCTCCTCCTCCTCCTCTTTGCGGCTTCAGATGACACAGAGCTCACTTGTGCAGAAACCCTTGTCCCGGACTTCCCTGCCCGCCCCAGAGAGACTTCAGTCCAGCGCTGGTACCGGCCAGTGAAACAAGTCCGAAGAACTGGGTATCTGTAACGGATATTCTCCGAAGGAACGTCAAACCCTACTGGTGCCAGCTGGGGGACTTCGAGTTGTTTTGTCCCAAAAGGAGCAGCATTATTTTATTTGTTCCTTTTTAGCAAGTGTCTTGACTTGGCTTGAGATGTAGTGCAGTGCCCGGCGTTCTTGTTTTCTCCTACAGCTGTTCATTTCTTTTCTCCTTTCTGTTTTTTTTTTTCCTTGTGATGTTTCTTTAAATAAAAAACGGGTAAACGCATCACCATCTGTCTGCCAGCTGGCATCCTGTATATAATCTAGAATGAAAAAATAAACATGAAAATTATATTAAACAAAAACCAGACGGAAGCGACCTCCAAATCCTACATAGGCTGCTGCTGAAACGACAGATCGTTTTACTGTTTTAATTAACCAACAAAGAGACGGGAAAAAAAGCAAAAAGAAACTGGATTAAATGTTTGTTCTCTGTAGAGTGAAATAAAAAGAAGATTACTACAATGTAGCAAAAGAGGAAAAAGAAAAAAAATTCTAGCCTTTGTAATATATATTGCACATTAGGACTAAAAGCCATCTCTAGCTCATATTGAATTTTAATGTGTAATTTTATTTTTATTTTTTCTGTGGAGAAAAAAAGGCTTGATTCACAAACACTCTGTACATGGAGGCAACTCTTGACTTTTTTATATGATTTAAAAAAAGGATGAAAAAAAAACAAAAAGGTTGCTCCGATACTTGAATCTGATCTCTCGGCACCTATGTTATTAATAACCGAATATTTTTCCACTTGAATTTAGTGCTGTTAGAAATTTAATATATGTGTTTTATTTATTGTTTTTTTTTTCTGCATGACTGATGCAAGGGTTGAGATTTTCACTCAATAAAATAAAAAAACTGGAAAAAAAAGCATAGGCCAGTTGCCTCTTTTAATTTTTTTAGTCCCGTAGATTCGATTCCCTTCAGTGAACATGTGGCTCTGAAGTGTCAAGGGTGGGAGGAGGTCCATGAACTCGGACCACAAAGTCTGCACCTAACCTCTACAATAGAAGGGAACAGTCCATGCTGTCACACTGCACTGGTCAGGTCTGTGACATCAGACATGATATTGTACGTGCACTGTGCTTCCTCCAATGAGGCAGTGAGGTTTCTGCAGTTACTCTTTATTCTTGAGTCACAGGTGCCATATGTGTTGGATTTTTGTAATACACCAGAAACAGGTTCTATATGAGAACCGCCTGCACATCATGCAGCAGTGATGGCAGGAGCTGCCAGTAAAGGGAACATATGACAGGTGTGCATGTCTGGCATATGCTTGAGCTTTCTGGGCTGTGATAGTCACATGGCTCATACATAGCAGATTAGGATGCAAACAGATGAAAGACTTGTAAATAGCAGCTTTGATTATGATCACACAGCCAAACCCATGTGAGATAACAGTTGGCCTTGTCTGTTACGATGAAGGGAAAAGAAAAGCGCTTCGTGGATATCCTACAACTCAAGGGCAAAGCTCCCTTCTCCTGGTACAGCTCATAACATCAGGACCTTTCCCGTTCGTCAGACATCCTTAGTTTAAAAATGACAGTAATGGAGAATATGACTGCGGACGGCTTAGGGAGAGGAGTTAGTATCATTAATGTTGGCCTGCATTCATTTCGTGTTGAGTTTCCGGAGCCGAATTCTGGGCGATGATGTTGTCTTTATCTGGATGGCTCACTTTGTCCTTGGCATCTGAAGGAAATGTTATGGATTTACTAGAAGTCCACATTTAGCAGGAAGGCACACAGGTGTGAAAAAGAGATTGACGAATTGATTGCGGAGTAAAGGTGGTTTTGCAGGTCCAGCTGTATGGGGTCCAGACACATGAACTGCAGGGCAGTCCAATCTGATTCTGCGCCCGTTTTCTTTTGGCAGCTGTTTCTAAAATAGTTTGTCTGTCAGCCATGTGCAACGCAATCACCGCCCTGTATAGGTTAAATACACGTTCAGTAGAAAGCGCGCCTGTGTACCTTTCTCCTCCATGTGCTGTGTTGGCACTGGTAGCCCATGTGCAGCACCGAGGATGGGGTTAGTTCTGTGGATAGGGAGCTCATGGCTAGCTGTCACTGAATTCATGTTAAAACATCGGCCCTGCTATTCCATTTAAAGCAGGGGAGCCCCTGGAGCACCCATACCTGTGTACAGCATTTGAGTTTTACTGGAAAAGCCCAGCCTTTCAGATCTTTGAGGATGTAGTTTCTTGTGTGTGGTCACAAGAAAATACAGGTTGAGAGTAGACAAGGTCATGTTGTTTCGATACTAAAGCCACAACTTGACAGGTTTTTGTTTTTAGGACTGTTTTACAATGGAAAGGCGGGAAATACATGGAACTCATTCAGAAACTGCTGTGGGATTGGTAGCAGCTGTTCCATGAATGGGAAATTAGGGTCCCACACCCCAAAGGAACAGAGAAAGAATCTGACACACATTCAACCAATTTAACATTAACAAGCACTTATTGGAAGCAGTGCCTCATGACAGCCTCACAAAGCCTGGTTTCCCTCTGCTGCTAACTGGCCTGCATTTACAAACAACACACACACGAAGGTAAGTTTGAAATCTTCCATTTTTGAACACATAAAGCACGTTATCACACCTTCATTGGGATCTTATTGGAACAGCCGGGATTTTTAAGATTCTCTTCTAAAAAAATAATGCCAAATTTGATTGCAAGTAAGGAGCCTGACTCCGCTGACAAACATTACTGCGAGATGAAAGGAGGCAGTTTAAAAGAAGACTATGACAAAGCCTGTATATGTGGGTGGTTTTAATTGTGTTCATTCTTGCAGTGGAGTCCTTCCTGTCTATTTACAAGCAGGGAAATATCAACATGGTAAAGGTCATCTCACAGGTTTTTTTTACTAGCGACAGTAGTTGTGGCTTGCAACCAAATAAGCAGCCTATAGTCCGATATCAAAAGCAAACTAAATTCTGATCAAATCCAAATATCCTGCGTTAGCACCTCTGTGTTCTACAGATGTTTGTATCGGAATAGCCTGTTTTTTGTATCGGTTTCGTATTTTTAAAAGGTATGTAAAAGAAGTGGTGAGAGAGATGAGTCACATCTGACAGTTATTTTCATTAAACAATATGAAAGGCACCCTATCCATCAACAGGTTGGCACACAATACTCACAGAGCAGAATTTGGAACTGTATATTGGGAGGCATCAGTAGTCTTGGCTAACTTAGTTTTCTGACAGCCCTGAACTGGCAGCTACATCCTTTGAAAGCTGTACATGAATTGTCACAGAATAATCTTCCAGGCAGCCAAGCATATTGAACAAGCAGAGAGGCGATTGATATTTTCTGGTAAATCTGTTCAGGGCTCCTGCACGTCAATTACGTTGATTATTCTGCAGAGATACTATTCCCATTCATTGGCAGCATCCATGCATGCAAATAGGAGGCATGCCCAGTGTGTCACAGCTTTGAATAAACAAAAGAGGAGTTTCATCTGAAGACTCCCAGGCATTCTTAGGTGGATCATTTCTGGTTTTGTAACATTTTTTTCTTCCCTTTGTAGAGGAAAAAGATGGTAATCATGATGCTTATAAGAGCTGGGCTGAAATTCCACTAATGTATTCGCAGCCCAGCTTGGCTAACGAACCACTTTTTGGCCAAGATAAAAATTCAACAAATGAGTTTTGAAACAAAATAGCATTTTTAATGTCTCTCAGTACTACAGTAACCACGAACCTAACTCCGAAATTTAAAAACAAAAAGGCTGAGGATTTGTGCATAAACGCCTCTAAATGTTTCCCAAACATCCATTTAGGCCACCAGGATTAAATGCAAATATACTGCAGGCCCAGGCTATCAGCTGAACCACTCCGGCCCTGAAGAGAGCTGTGTAAGGCAGCAGCATGGAGCTCTAAGCTCAGACACTCTGGACTAACCAGGCCAAGGCCAGGGCCCAGATCCTCAGTGCTGTAGTAGCCTCGACTGCAGCACCCTTCACTCAAACATCTCGGCACAATTCCCGACCCTGTACATAGATGCACGTGTAGGTTGCTACATTAATTGTTATCGTCGTTGTTCCACTGGACAGGAGCAGATAGGAGGCCGTGCTCACCAGAGCCGCTTCAACGGGAAACAGTCGGGGGACTCATGCGGCACTAAACCCAGCCAGACTCCCCCGGTCACGTACTGTACAGACTAGCAGCGGTTCGGCGACAGAAGCACTCTGGCAATGCAATGTCAATGCGTAGACTCCAGGAGGTGTCACGATGTTCCGTACGAGGGTGTCGCAGCCGAAAGCTAACGGTAACACAGTACTGCTGCGACGTGCGTGTGTTGTCTGGTGATTTTGTAGCATCTTAATGAGGTGATAATGTGTACAAACCCCCCATTACCACCACCCTCAAGTAACGTCTTCTAACGGCGTGCTGTGGTGAAAGTAGATTTTTGGTGGGTTTTTTTAGATAAATGAAGCCACCGAGGCAAAAACAAAATACTTTCCTTGGCTCCTGACACATTGTAAAACAGAAATAAACAGAGAGACTCAGGCAGCGAACAGAGAGATTCCAGACAAGGGCGGGAAGGTACTGTTCTCGGGATGTAAAGGCTAACCTAACCCCCACTCCAGAGCTGAAAGTGGTGTTACAGCGTTTTGTGTTCGCTGGTACAGTAATAAACCTACAGGTACAGTACCTGTTGTGACGTTTGACTCCCAGTCAAATGTCATAAAGCAACACTGATGATCTGCCTAATTACCAGACCAGGCGTTGCAGATGAAGGTAAATTTTAAAACCGACAAATGAAATGACAGGCTGCAACTCTTAATTCCTAGTTTTATAGCTTTGAACCAATTTTTAGTCTTAAGAAAAGGCGACAGTCCAAGATTTGGAACCGATTGTGGGTAAATTGTGCAACATTATAGCGCATTGAATTGTGTACTTGAGATAAATGTGGTCACAAAGCGTACAGTCCCACTAAAAGCATCAACATTATTTATAAAGAAAACAAATTCATATGTTGCATTTCACATTTAATTTCGCAGTGTCAGACCACGTTCATTCGCGCAATTAAATCACCACGACTTGGGGGTCTAGATTGATTAGCCGAAACAATTCATTAAATTTAATTAAACGTATATATTCATTAATATTATTTCTAATTATTATTTTTTAGATTCATTGGAAACACGTAATGGTATAATTAATAAATATATTATATTGTATAGCGCACTTAACAACTGCTGACAGATATTTATAAATTGAATGTGCGTTAACGCCAGCGTTTCAAAATGTAGACAAAATGTTGTTCTTGTGTAATTACTGAGTGTAATTTACCAGACAAGAACCATCATTTTGAAAAGTTTTCCTTGATGAACGCTTTTCAGAATTGAATAGTTTAGGTAAGGCTTTTTAGAACAGATAATTACTGATTTTTTTTAAAGGGCAAATCAACTGCTTTTTTCTTCCTTTACAGTGCGAAATGAAAAGCTGAATGAACTCTCAAAGCTAATCCACTATGTGTGCTGACTACGCTGTTAGTATGTTACATAAACGTTTAGTCAGAAATAACAAACATTTCATACCATTTGTTTTAGTTTGTTAAAAGTATGTTTCATGCCATAAATTAGTCATCCCCCGTGTTTAGCAGGAGTTTGTACGAGAGCAAACAAGCAGCAAGTGGGAACACGAAAGAAATGTATAAAACTGTTAATCTCTGCTGGCCGGGAGCCAAAGAGCCATTAGTTGTCGAGTTGTTTGCTTAAAACCAAACCAGCAGTCTCTAGGGTTGAGAGAAACTGTTTTTGTTTTCAACACTTTATAACTTCATCCGAAGCTGCGATGTGCAGCTGAAGGCACTGAATCACAGAGCCCCTCTAATCCAATTCGGCAGATTCAAGATGCACTGAAGTACCGGGCCCTAAAATTGGTTAATGTGACACGGGTCGGGGGAGTTGAGCGGAGCTCTAGCGACAAACCCCAGCAGACGTGTTGACTGTGAGCGGCGACGACGCGAGATTGTTTCAATTAACCAGTACAGAGATCTTTTGAAACGACCATCGTAATACCCTGTAGCTCTCAAGAACAACACCTGGCTCGTTCCTGGCTTCACAGAACCTCTGGAACCTCCTACATGGATCACAACTTTATTACAGAGTTACAGTTGAGCCAGAGCCTAAACAGATTACAGCTCCAAGGCAAAATATAGACTGGATGAGACACCATTCCATCACGAGGCAAATTTTAGAGATGTCAATCAACCTAGCGGGGAAGATAACTCTCAGGACACGGGAATATGGAAAATCATCTTTTTTATTCTCCGCAGCGATGGTAGAGGCAGCACTTTAACTCTCTCTCACAACCCCAGGCTGTGAACCCGTGAACTGTCCCTTTCCAATCCAGATTTTTCAACGACGAGGCTAAGGAAATTAAATTGGAAATATGAATGACAATATCTAGCTTAAAAAATAACATCCCAGTGTACAACATTAAAATAGTGGCTACTGCAATTTATAAACTCCACAAAATATGTCAAATAAAGTTAACACGACACTAAAAACTATTTAAACAGCCGTCTTTAACAAGACTTGAATGCAGCCGCCTCCCCCTTGAAACATTGCATCCAACAGTGAGATGTACTTTTTTTTTAAATACGAGAATATGAAAATGAAGATGACGCTGTTTTTAAACGTCTTGATCTTTGCTTCGGAGTTACAATACTTGCTTGGGCTTTCGGCTCTGCTAAAAACAGTTCAGTTCTTAAGGAAATAAAGACTGGTTTCGGCTTGGAGAAAACTTAACCCCAAAATGCGAGTTTGTCTTCATGGCCCAGTGTAGTTCAAATAAGATAAAGAGAAAGGCATGGCTATAGAGCATTGAAGGAAGCCAGGATCCGGTAACCACTGGAAATTAGCGGAGTTCATGCCCTTCTAAATCACTTTAGCCCACAGCCCAGTCGCCGCCGGTTCGAACCCACCCGGGTCCGGCTAAGCTTTGCACCGAGGGGAGTTTTCCAAGTGCCCGTTTCCTACAGGGTCGGTATTTTTTCCGGGGGGTGGTCGTTCCTGGTCACTCCCCTAAAAACTGGGGACATTTCGCGGGGGGTACGGGATAAGCGGGTTCTAATTAAAAAATTAAGGACTTCGTCCCAGTGCAGAAAGGGAGGCGACCTTTGACGTCACTCTCGCCTTCGCCAGTTTCCCTCTCGCGCGGGTCGGGTCCAAGATGGCGGCGTTTGCAGTTTGTGAGCTTTCCTGCTTACGCGTTTTAAATGCCTTTATTTTCTTTTATTTCCCCCTCTACTGATAACAAATTCGAAGTACCTGTTGATTTTGAAGTTCCGCCGGCCTAAGGGTATGAGAACTTTCTAAATGATTTCCTTTCATTTAATTAAAAATGTTTGAGGCCTGTAGTCGGTGACGGAAATTTCTGCAGGTGTGTGATTGAATTCCCGCCGTGTGTTTACCAACTTTACGTGTTAAACAATTTAATTAAAATATGCCTAGGTTGGGTTAACCAACGTTTGTAGAATAAAGAGCGCATATCTTAGTTTATATTACAAGTGTTTAAAGTCTTAAGTTTGAACTTGTATTATTTTTTCAGTTTTCCTTGGCGAGGAATGGAGGTGTAACCTACATTCTGTAGCTGTTGATAGTTGTTGAGTACTAAGGTCTTTTACTGGCATAGTTTTGTAGGACTTTTGTGGCTGATACAGTTTCTAGAACCGTGGGTTATAGCTTTTGAAACCAATTGTTTAATTTTCTGAACTCGTTCGACGTCGTGTTTATTAAAGTTCCCACTCCCCACCGAAATAAAATACAGCAGTTTCACTTCCCAAGAAGACTTAGTGATTTGTATTTAAAGTCTGCGCTCGTTTTTAACCTGTTAAACTGTTGTTATTTTTTTCTGTTCTCTGTCAAAGATAGATCGAGGCGTAGTCTGTTTCGTTTGTTGTGTGGACGTGGTAATGTTTCATTTTCAACGAACTCTGAATTCCAGCGCCGCTTATGATGACATTTTCTAAAATTCTGTTTTATTAAACTAGATCATGCCGATTATATCGACAGCACTACAGATATACTGAGCATAAAAAGTAAAATCACATCATTTACTTTGCTGGAGTTACTTATCAGGAAAAATGACCATCTTTTGTAGCAGGTGCACTGACTTCTTATCGAACAGACCGGACATAGGTCAGTTCAATATGCTGATTAACATTCTCATCAACAGGGGGGACTCCTGTGAAAGCTGCATGTAAATATTATGTGTGACCACTGCAGGAAGCATTACATGCTGCACATTTGCAATGCCAGCCGAGCCCCAGGTTGCAGACATTGTCTTGTGGGATCCAGCCTGGACAAGCATGTGTCCGTTCGCTGGTCACTGAGCGCTACATGCCCTCATCCCTCCTGCGCTCGGTGGAGTTTAGGTCTGGTGAGTAGGGGCTTCGTGGCTTTGTGACTTTCACCATGCGAGACAGCTGGTTTCACAGGAGTGGCATGTGGACACAGGACAGCACGTTGTCCTGCTGGAATGTAGCCCCGTCGGGATGAGGCCGCAGAAAGGGCAGCGAGTGAGGAAGCCAGGAGAAGATCGGTGCAGTCAGGTGTCCATCAGACTCTGCAAGTGGATTTCAGTTGCAGCTAGAACAGGGGTTAGCAACCTGGTTTGTATCACATTCCACTTTTTCCGCTGTTTAATTTGTAAACATAACTCATGCCACCTACTATTACCTGGATTCAAGGGTTCATAATTATGCAAAAATGTATTATAAAACCTTTAACAAACAGTTTTTAATCTTTTAGATGCCTATCTACAGTACATCACCCACAATGTCTCATATACGTCACTGAAGACTTCTAGCTGAGACGTGCGTTTCTAATTTTAGCCAAAATATCACTTTTTGTTGGCCAAGCCAACATATCTTCAGCAGATTGTAAAAAGCGGTTCTTCAAAAAATAGTCTATAAATGACTTTCCTTTGTGTGCAATACAGTATAATGCTGCTGTGTAACTTACCTCAGTGTAACTTTCATGTCTTTTTGTACACATCAATAGGCTGTCTTTTTGACTCAACATATTTCTGTTATATGTCTGGCTCTGCAGTCCCGAGATATGATAATGGTGATTTGTGTTAAAATGTCTCAAAACAGTTGTCTCAAACTAAATATGCAGCTCCGGTGCACATAGCTTCTCCTTGTGACGCTAAACCATGTTTTTCTTTCAATTTGTCAAGCTTTCTTTGGCTGTGACATATTTTGAAAGGATTAACTTGCAGCAACATCAACCATTCAACGGCAAGTGTTTTAGCTGTACATGTCCTTCCAAAAACTTAAAATTCCAGTTCTTTCTCCAGGTGTGCCGTATAAATGGCTGACCCTGCACTCTGACCCCAAGCTTCTCTCCCTGTCTGTGTGTCTCATGGAGAGGAAGCTGGGGTACACGAAAAGACAAATTCCTAATGCAAGAAATTGTAAATGGCCAATAAAGTGATCTTATTTAAACATTGTAAACTTTATTCTTAAATGAGTAGAACTCCGATATATTAAATACAGTTGTAAAGGGGTCTAATGTCAGACATACTAGTGCAAGGTTATAGATGTGTTAAAGACAGCTATGATTAAATCCTATATCTTGGACTTCATTGTAGTAAACTAAATTTGTATGGACTCATGCCTGTGTATCATTGTTTCTCTTCTCACCTGACAGTTGTCACTTTGTGACGCTGCTTCATAAACATGTACATGTACATGTACAAAGTACAGTTCTTCAGTATTGCACAGCAATAGTAAATTTGAACTGTGGGGGGAAAAATAGCTTTTGAAACATTTTGTCGAAGGCTTGCAAATTAAATGGCGTTTAATTACATTTTTTGTCCTGTCCTTTAGATGAAGAGAGACAGTACTTGGTTATTTACACATGACGACTGTAAGTCTGGTTCTGCCAAGTCCTGCCTGTTGTTGAAGCGTCTCTCCAGCGAGATTCACTCTGGTAAGTGTTGTCAGGGTGATTTGTTTGCTTTAAAATGTATACAAGGTAGTGGACAAAAAACTGGAAACACCAATGTAAAGCCAGTAAGGAAGAGAGCTGGGGCAAAATGTGTGGTCTGTAAGGGCTGTATGTGACGTAGCATAGGATCTACCAGTAGTTGTAAACCTGCCGGAGGTGTGTGGCACTGTTTTTCCATGAGCAAGTCAGATCAATTCACGCTTGGTTGAAGGAGGTAGAAAATGCTATTTTGGGTGTCCAGAGATATCCCATATGATTGTGTTCAGATCTGGTGACTGAGAAGGCCATGACATAAAGATGACATTGTAGTGATGCTCGTGAAACCATTGGGTGTCCATGTCTAATCTGTGGATGGGAACATTGCCATCCTGTAAGGCATCCCTCCCAACAGGAATGGAATGCTGAAGCATGGAGAAGGTGATCACTTATGCTGTGATTAGCATTGACCTTGCCTTTGCCATTGATAATGTGCCCCACTTCACAGAACCACCAGAAATCTTCACTGTTGGAATGGAGCACTCAGGCGTATAGAAGAATTAATTAGGCTGGAGCCATATGTGCACTCTTTTTTTCAGGAAAATGCTGAAGGATGGATTCATCTGACCTATCACGTGTGTTCTGTTCTTTGCATCACTAGACTTGTAGACATCCATTGCCGGATGTGATGAAAAGTCTGGAACTTATGTTATACTGCTCTGTGGAGTTTTCAGTGGACCATTTTGGATGAAAGTGGCTGCCTTTTAAAACCAGTTAAAAACGTGACATCAGCCTTTGATGTGCAATTGCTCGCGTGTTTTGCCATGCAATTCAAATTAACACAGGGATTTTGGAGTACGAGCTTGTGCCCTTGGTTAAAGATGTCTTTCCCACAAGGCTTCATGCTGGCATCACCTTAAGGCATTGTTGCTTGTGAAACATCAGCAATTAGATCTGTCATAGTCACTTAAGCGCCAGTGGACGCCCCCCAACAATCACCCCGTTTTCAAACTCATGGAGGTCACCTTTTGTAGCCATGCTAGCTGTAAATATAACCAACCAGGTATGTCTGGTGGTTTTATACATGATCCTTAAAGCATGCCGGGATGTCATTTGCTTAATGCACAAGCTGCACTTGTGTGGATGCCCCTGCTTACAATATTCTTGGTGTCCCTCATTTACCCAGGTGTTTCCATTGTTTTGTCAACTAGATCAATTTCTTGCTAAATTTAGAAATTTAGCTAATGCATGATTTTGTTTTAGCACTAGCACATGCCTATTACATCATAACTACATGATGTGAAGCAGAGTTTTGGTCTGCATGACTGAAATTTCAGATTGTTTGAGCTGGCAGATGTGCTTCTTTGAAGCAATTAATTGAACTGATCTCACTAATGGAAATTAAGTTTTTAAACCATGCTGGGCAGAACAGCACCAAAACTTGTATATCCCTTTATTTTCAGTGTCAGTGGTAGAGCTACAGGTGCACTCCATTCATTTGTACACATTGTGCTTTATATAAGAATGCAAGACTGATTTGTATTTGTATGGTATGGCTTCATTGTAAATGAAAATGAAAGGCCTGTTCATTTTCAGTTATGTTGGTTTACTTCAGAGAACAATTCTATTTTAAACTTGTTTGAACTGTTAAATGCTTTATCATTAAGTGAAGGAGTGTTAATTTTCTTCTTGTATTGTCTAGGACACTGATCCCTGAAGACAGCTGTCAAGTCTGGCTGCGCTGATGGGACCTGGATCCACACGTGTCCTGGGGAATGTTCCGATCCTGTTGCTCTGCGTTTCTTTTGTTCTGTATTCAATAAACTGCTGTTTGCGCTAGCTGTTGAGTGTTTGTTGTTTGCAGGTTGTGCTGCTCTTTGTGTACTGGAGGAGCCAGGGCTAGAAAAGTGCCAGGTGAGGAACTTGTCCCCCCAGCTTACTGCCATACTCTAGGCAGCCAGCAGGCTCTGCGAGCAGGGGCTTTGTTGCGTGTGCTAGATATTGCTTAGCAGCACCTCTTACTTGACCCAGATCACGATTGGAGATGGGGGAATCTTCTTTTTGCAGCAGTGGGTGCAGGCCTCACAGGTGGGGGTGTGGCTATTGGCCACAATCCACCCCCCAGGTGACTGGGCCCAAGAGAGTCCCTGGGGAATATCTCCCTTCATTTTCATTAGCGTGCTTGGTTAATTAACTAAGACCGCTGACACTTAGCTGGGCTAACACTAGAGGTCGGTACTTCTTGCCTGTGGGTTCCAACACCAACCACAGAAAAAAACACAGCCATAACTTGAATTAAAAAACATTTTAATAATAAGCTCCAAAGAGGGACTCTGGCATGTTCCTCCAGGTAACCGGGTCCTTGGTTCGTTGCCACCGTCTGAAATGACATGGGGGGGGGGGGGGGGAGAAACCACAGGCTCATATTAGTGGACCAGTGTAGACGTGAAGGACACCTTTTTTCCTTTTTCTCAGCATTGAAGTGTAAAATGTCTGTTTCCTGCTCATTTTACAAAGGAGGGGAGTGGACAACGTTTAAACATGCTACTCATATTATTTTGCTTACTTGTCATGGCAACAAATGACTTTTTCAGTAGCAGAAATGTCTATACCAGGCAACTCAAAATTTAAAACAGTCCTAGTCGTTACTGGCATTTTCCACAATTAAAAACTTCAGCAAGTAAGAAGATTATAAAATGACTAATCTTGGATATACGTTTCAAAGTTAGACTACACAGTTAATATTAATTCTGACAGAATGAAATGAATTGTTCAACTCTGGGCAAGAATAAAATTAGTTTGTGGTCTTCATCTGCTAACACACATTTTTTACAGAGAGCAATGACATTTTTACTACCTGTTAAAACAAGTAACCTATTGCAGTTTCTGAAAATTAGGCAAGAAATGTGCCATCACACCCATGAGACCTTCCCCATGCAGGCTGGAAACCATCCAGTGAACCAATTCAGTAGCTCAAAGGTAGTTCTTTAAGTTTTGTGTGGTCAAAACTACTTTAAATAGTCAGGTAATTCCCAGCCTTCACAAGCCTGTGATCTGTGTGCACACTCCATATAATGATAACTTCGGACTTTCTGTGCAAAAAAAAATCATCAGTGATTTTTATATGGAGAGTCTCAATTTGTTTCAAGCATTATATGACATAAGAAACAGCAGTACTGTGGGAGTGCGATGCATCTTAATTAACCAGAAGTGGCTATGACCCCAATTTAAACCAAAATGCAACCTCACTTCAGATAAACGTTCATCATTTCAGACTGTATAGTTCCCCCCTACCAAGTCCACAAAGCAAAATACCTTCAAGCCCATCTCATCCCCCCAGCCAGTAGGAGGCTAGGGCCCTCACTGCTGACAGCCACAGGTTTTGATTGAAACCTTCCTCGATCCATGTATGCAAGATAATTTTGCATTTCTTACTTTCTTGTAGTCTTTTGACATTTGTTTAAGTCATATTTAAGCAGCATGTTATTTTTATGCCTACATTTTAAGCAAAATGTATTCAAAGTGCTGGGCCTGTGCCTCAGATACTGTACATTAAAGTCACAATGTAGATAAAGTTGCTCAATAAATTACCTTTACCTGTATGCCTGCATGCCAAAATCCAGAAAAAACAAGCAAATCGTGTGCATTGCACAACTAGTTTGAAGCAGATCTGTTTGAGACATTGCTGCATAACCCTGTAAAAATTTTAACTACTTACGTACAGAGTATTTAAATACAAACTACAGTGCTGTCAGCACTACACAGCCTGCCTGCATTGTGTCCATGCTTCCAATGTGAATGTAGTAACTGAAAAATGTTTTGTTAAAAAATCTCGGTATAAATCAGGATTACATTGACATATTAGGGCTGGGTAGCTACAGTGTAACCACCAACAACAAAAAAAAACAATATTATACTAAAATATCCCTGGGAGCCAGATTCTCTTTTCCAATATCATTTGCACAGATGAGTTAAACTGATTTTATTTTGTCTCAGATGGAGGGTGATGAGAGTGGAGATGGTCAACAGAGATATTTTAAGAAGTCTCTGCAGCAGACAGTATATGAGCAGAGAACAGATCGCAGAAAACAATAGGATATATGGCACTTTAAGGCATGGGAAATCTTGTATCAGCAGAAAGTTCCACTGATTTTAAACAAAGGGGACATCTGAATGACCTGAAGTATGAGGTGAATAAAGTATGCTTTTGTGGAGTGATCTTATTGACAACAAGAAAAATCTGAACCAGAAAGGTGAGACTACCTGAATAGCTATTGGAGGCACTGCATATGGTTCAAGAAAGCATCTCCTAGATCTAGCAAACCTGAAGAGATCCAACAAGGAAATCCCACTTAACTGGTGCGAACTCTACAGCGGTCTGACAGCTGTCACACAGCCCTCTCTCTTTTGTCACCAACCAGACTGAAGAATCAGTAAGGCAAGAGCTTTGGAATTATAAAAGATTAGCAGTTTTGTTTTTCCACAAAACAAGATAACCTTCATGAATTTCCGGCCCCTCAAGGCCACACTGTTAGGGAATATTTCTTGTCTCACCTGTTTGAGAAGGGCTTGGGGAAACACTTCTCTTCTCTTTGTGGTGAATCTGTCCGTGGTGGCAGACTGCAGGGATGGGCCACCCAACACTTCCCACTCCCTGAGAGGCAAAAGTAAACAGGGGGGAAAATTAAGCCAATGCTTCTTGCATACTTGCTTATTCTGAAACTGAATTAATACTCAACTCATCATGCCCTCACCAGAGAAAAACTTGTTTCCTCTGAAAAATTAATAATATTACCACAAATGTAATTCAGCCATGGATGTCATAGCACTTCACGTGTCTATTTCTTTTTGTTTCCATTAGTGTGGTATACTTGGATGGCATTATCGTCATGAAAATTAACGTTTAACCAACAATATTCCATTCCCACTGATCACTGATCAGATGGTGGTATAGCGCATTAAACTGTGTCCTGTGTCTGGGCACAAACACATCTCAGTATAGGAACTTGAAAAAACTTCTAATCAATAACAGTAACGTTAATGTCAACCTTTAATAATTTGTAACATGAATTTAAGCTAATAATTAAATATCTAAAACGTATACCTTGCAATGTTGTTGCTAACGTGTTGAAACAATAAGGATATACAACTGCCCTGAAAAAAAACGTTCTAGTTTATCCAAGGCTTAGTTAGAATTTGATTTTAAAGTAGTACAGCACGCCATTGTACTACATTACCACAGTCACAATGCTAATATTAAAAAAGCTGACAAAAGTAACAACTATACCCGTTTGTTAACGAAACGACACAATATGAGCAACACATCTAGTTCAAAAACAGCTTCACCAATTTTAATTAAATTCATGAGCATTAAAAGTGGAAACGCTGACTTACCTTGAAGACAAAAAAAACGGTCTTCTCTCCATAAAAATCGTTCCTTAAAACGGCACCGAAAACAACGCTAGTTCGGATTTACATGGGGAAAAAAACGTACATGCAGCGTACTCGACAGGAACATTTCTATCCGTCAACAATAAAAGAAAAAAACATACATATATGAAAAGTATTCGATTTACAGAAACGCAGGCCTACTCGATCCTCAGCGGTTTGGAAAAGCCGCCATCTTGTGCCCAGGTGTTGCTGATTTGGACGTCCTCTCACGCCGCCCCTCGTAACGGCGAGAACCGCAGTTCAATTTTACTTTGTTTCGCACTGGCACCAAATTGTGCTACACAATTAACAGTTACGAAATACAAAAGTGTACAATTATTGTCAACTAAACGTCTCGGAAACGGCGCCATACCATTTCTATGCACACTTTAGACTTGCGCTCTCCTCCAAAACGAGTTTCGAAACGCTTCGCGTTAGGGGGGGTCTTCAAGAGGCCTTTTGGTTATAGAAAGTCCCAAACACCCACGGAAACCAGCTTACGAGAGCTGTACTACTTTGTGCAGTCATCTGTTACTATGATTTAAAGCCAGCATATACTGTACGCAAGCTTTATTTCTGATACGCTAACACTATGCCCTGTACGAAACAGTGTTGTTGAAGGATTTACAAATATATTTTCTCTACCGCCTCACGTACGTAATGCGCATGTTCGACCCGATCCTTAGTTGTATATACTGTATATATCAGCTAAAAATCATAAATGAACAGTTAATCCCTCTTTAACAGATAACATAGCCTACCGTTTTTTTTCCAGCGACAGGAAAGTTGCTGTTGCATAGAATAATGTTTTGTCGTTTCCATACATATTATTCTTTTAAATAAAATTTTGGTTAAACTAACATCCTTTATGTATGGTAATAGATTCTTGAATCGTTTGTAGCCTTACATAATGTCCGTATTTCTGATCGTTTATGGGACCACATGCTGCGAAGCGCAATTCGCACGCTTCTTTGTAGAGACTGAATAAAGCAGAACCCATTACGCACGTCTACAGTGCATAAACATTATACTGTAACTCATGTCAACGAATCTATGCCTTTACTACAGTAACCAAAGACAGAGATCAAACACCACTGAAAGCAGCACAGGTGATGGCTTAAAACACGCATTTAAACTTGAGCTTCGCTAAAGCCTATAAACAAAACAACAACTACATTCTCTATAACGTTAAAAAGTGATTTATTTTCATCTCTTCAACACAGAACACTGCCAGAGGAGACTGAGTGAAGTATTCAAAATCCTCTAGCACACTGACAAAGTGGACTGGACTCGACTAGACTCTTCAGAATCAACAGTGAAACATGACCTAGAGGACACAAGTGGAAATCGGGAGGAAGTGCACAGGAGGAGTACCACTACACAAAGGATTGTGGGGGGCTGGAACAAGTCAACAAAGCTGATACACTGGCTTCTTTCAAGAAAGGGCTGGGTAGGATCCTTGGATCCATGAGGTACTAGTAACCAGGCGAGCTGGATGAGGCAAATGGCCTCCTTTCTTCTATGGTATCACACGACACAGGTGAGCCACAGACTGACAAGCAGGTCATCATCATACTCAGCAGCACCGGCAAGTTTTCTGTTGTGGTCGTGTCCACGATGTTACAGCATGAAAAATAAAAGGAGAGGGATCAGTGCAGGGGTCAAGGACTGAACTCCTGCTCAAGAGAAACCTGAACGCAGTCAGTGGAGTTTGTACTTCAGGACGTGTCTGCACCAGCGGGCCCAAGGCCTTGTGGAAGCCATGTGACCTGCTAAGCTTGTAAGCTGGTATCAGGTATGCCGCATTCAGTGTGAAATCCCCTTATTTTTTTCTTGTGAAACTTGTCAGTATCACGTTGAGCTCAGGAAACGGCTGCCAGAAGATTTATGTTCGAATTTGTTAGTCAAACAAACGTAGTTGTAAATGAATTCAAATGTAAATCCAGAGCCGAGCAGGCAGATGATATAGGTGTTAAAAACAAAACAAAACAGGAATTTTCCATAAAGGCGATATTCCAATGACACAACAGCTCCCTCCGACTTTAGCGGATGTTTAGCGTCACCTTCATCGCCTTTGCATATCCTTTTACGCTCAGCTATTTACTCAGCAAACCAGGTTGTATTCAAAATTAGAACCATTCCTATTTTTCCCTTCCAATAAAATGATGATATGCGTGTTGTTCCAAAATATGGCTGATGTGTCCTATCCTAGTGGTACTATTTGTAGAAAAGCTCTCTGTTTGAAGGCAGCTGGGATCTGTAAACTATCAATGCACAAACTACAAATAGTTACTGAACTGGTAAAGCTAATCTTACGGCTCAAAAGCATTATACAGATAAAAGGTATATTGTTCAATATGCTGTGTATTTGTCTTAGTTTTCTATGTACTGTAGGTTGGGAGATATCATTGCAAAAATTCCACATGCATAAAACTGATACATTGGCTCACTTTCAAAACACATCCTGTAGCTGAATATTATATGATACTTGTGTTTGCACATAGATGATACAGAAGGTGTATCTCAAACTACAGGAATGGAAAAAAATTAAAGAACAAAATCTTTGATAAGAATGTCAAGACCAATGCAGAAAGTCCTTGAAGAGAAGGAAAACTTAAACATTTTTAAAAGGGTGGTAATGCTAAATTGGTGTAAATTTTCCAACGCAATGTGTGTCCATTTTGGATGAGGACTACAGTGTTAGCTACAGTATAAGAAGCAATTGTCCACAAGGTTAGGTGGTTACCTGCACATGTAATCAAACCTGTACAACCTTAACTCAGCTTTTCTGTTTATGATTAGCAACACAGAAAATGATGTGTGTTTGTTTTTTTTTATCAGCTTGTTTCATATAAAAACAAAAAGGACTTTATAAGCCCTGTTATACATTATATCAATGTCAATACATTAAACAAAATAAAGGATATCCTGCATGGCATTATGGTCATAGTGTCTTGGCCTTACTTCCTAAAGAGTCGTGTGTTTGTCATTTTGTCACTTAACTGGAGCTCATTCTTTGAAGATGCAGTGGAAAATACTTTAAAACGAAACATCTTGGGGTGAAGATGGTTTAGGGTTGACCACATCTTTCGAGATTAAAGGCTTCTAATGGCCTTGGAGACTTCCTCCTACCTGCATGTTGCTGGAAACAAATACTCAATCATGTCAGACAAGCTCACCAAGATGACAGCGAGGCCTCAAAGCAAGATACACAGTTAGCCTTTTACTGTATGTGGGAAGCAAATCTACCCACCTACCTGTTACAGCTGGCTGAACCAGGTGTTTTGATGCGCCTTCTGGAGTGTGTCAAAAATAATACAGGAGCATTTTTACTTTGCCAGCTCAGGTAGATGACGCCCTCCTGGTAGGAGATCTTGCAGCCAGCAGGAGAAATGAAGGAAACCTTCCTCTGAACATAGAGTTGTACAGTGAGCAGTGAGTTGAACAGTCCTTATATGCTTATTATGGGTCATTTATTTGCATTTATAGTTGACACTGACAGTGAAGAATGATTTTGCGCATCAAATCACAGATTGTCTGTCAGTGCAACAAGCAAAATTGGGGCGATTCCTTTTTCTAGTGGCAGATGATCTACATCAAACGCAGTCAACAGAATCAACAGAACAACAGAATCCTGTGAAGAGCCACATAATAACATGGCCTGTTCTGGTGTTGCAGCTGTGCCCTTTGTGAAAAGGAGAGTTAAAACAGGTGTGATGGGGCAGAATTCTAATCCTCCACATTATAGTTGTTGATCACACACAGTCACCCACACTTGAAAGTCTGTAATTTAATATGGAATACATCAGCAATGTGACATTTGCCGCATGGAAAAGGCAAAGCTTGGGAAGATTTTGACGATGCTATTAATAGAAAATGTGCATCATCAACTGGGGGTTTTCTGTTACAAAAGGAATTTTGACACGACTGCAGCTCCATCCAAAATGGGTGCTAAGGGCCCATCCAGCGATTCTGTGGGTGTTTTTGGGAATATAGGAATATATGGATTGTGTTTCTCCGGGGACGTGTTCGCAACAGGGTCATCCCTTGGAGGCTGGAGAGCCATCGGGGAGCACAAAAACACACACGCCCCCAGCTTCGCGCTGAACACACACACAGGCCCCCAGCTTCGCACTGAACACACACACAGGCCCCCAGCTTCGCGCTGAACACACACACAGCCCCCCAGCTTCGCGCTGAACCGGGGCACCTCCCAAAACAACAACTTTACACGTGGCAACCCGACAGCGAGGGAGAGGGGGCGTCCTCGTTCCTGACAGGGGACCCGCAGTGAAAACAAGCAGCACGGAAACAGGAGCTGCCCAGCCATGAGCTGGAACCGACACCCTGGCTTCTTCCGAGGAAGGCCATCAGGCCATAGGCCCTTGAGTGCCCGCGACGGCACCAGGCGGCCTACGTTTTCAATGGGACTTGGCAAGACAGAAGTCGGAAGGCTGCTGCGGAGGCCCGTGTGTGACAGGGACGATATGTCAATCTCAGAACACAGAGTCGCGCTTAAGGCAAGGAAAACATTACCTGTCGCTGGAACCGTAAGAATGACTGAAATGGGTCTGCTGACCTGTTCTTTCACCGACTCAACCTTCTCCCTCCCTCTCCCTCTCTCCCTCTCTCTCTCTGCAGCATGCTCCAGGAGCTATCCTGATGTCCTCTCTGATGGTTTGTCTAGCTCACAAACATGGGAAAGTGGTGCACCTGTTGCTCCGGCAGGGCCTCCACAGCTTCACGCTGGCCGGGAGTGTCGGCAGAGCCGAGCTCATCGATTCCGCTCCTTGCAGACAGGGTGTGGCTGTTATTATCGAGCCATTATGCTTTTTTTCTCTCTCTCTTGCCCCCGTGGCTCCGAGTCTCACGACAGTGACGACCACATATTTGTTGAATTCAAACTTGAATGTAGGCCAGGGGCAGCTTCAAGAGAGTGCTGGAGGAAACCTGATGCTGCCTGATTGTTGCGAGTTTATGCAACAAGTGATGACAAAGTAGTTTATGGCTTTCTGTGGTCTTCCATGCCAGAAGATGAAGCCATATACAGGCAGCTCAGCTCCTCATGTTCACAGTAAAGGATGGGGGTGTGTAGGGGTGTGTGTCACCCTAGCCTTTTTGTTACTGTGGCTTGTTGACCCCCGATGAGCTACCTTTCACATTTGGGGCCCGAGTCTCTGAAGCGACGGCCTTGTAAGGTGCAAAGACTGAACCAAACTTGCCGAAATTAGCAACAAGTCTTTTCTTCCCTCAGCATGAACAAAATAAGTCCATCCACCCTTCCTCTAAGCGCTTCATCTAATTCTGGGTCACAGGGAGCTGGAGCCTGTCTCCGCAATCAACAGGCACAGGGCAGGATACAACCTGGACAGGATGCCAGTCCATCGCAGGGCACATACAGTACAGACACTTTAGACCAGGCCAATTTTCCCAGAAGCTGATTTAACGACTAGCTTGTTTTCGGACTGTGGGAGGAAACGGGAGCCCCCAGGGGATACCCACATGAGGAGAACATACAAACTCCACGCAGACGGCAATTGAGGAATTGAACCCAGAGCCCCAGCACTGTGAGACAGCAGAGCTATCCCCCACACCGCCATGCCACCCACGAAGACAGCGCATTACTTTCACTCCTGGAACTGTCTCAGCACTGTCACACTATTTTCACTTGACTGGTAAGAATTCTCAAATGATAACACTCATACTCACTCATACTCACTCATGCTCACTCATGCTCCCTGCCCCTCTCCTGACTCACTGTTTTATCAAGGGGACTCCGGGAAAATTTCGTTTCTCCGTTCGGGTGAAGGTGGGCTTTGCCAGCATGGCATCAGCTGGAATGACCAGCCGGCAGTAGTTCATGAGAAATAACAAGAGCTCCGAATTAGATGCGCTGAGGGTGTGGATCGAGTAATTTCAGTACGGTGACATTTGCTTTAAGCAGCCTGGTCCAGGGGCAGCCCCTGGGTCACAGGGCGAGCAGGCTGGGAGCCCCCTGCAGGGTGAGGAGTTAACCAGTTAACCAAGGGGCAGCTCCACTGAACAACTTGGGGACGTGAAGATGGGGTGGAGGAGGATACTTCACTGTTTAAAAGAGGGGTTTGTTGATGGTAAATATTCCTAGTGAGTAATGACAATGGAAAGCTGGGACAAATGAGGCTTGGTTATTGTCATCCCTCCTAAATGTAAGGACTTCATTTAACAGCAACATTGACCTACTTGGCACAAAATCGCCTTCACTTTCCTTAGTATTCTAGGAAATAAAAAAAGGCTCACAGGTGTAGGGTGAATAATTCTGTGCCTCTTGTCTTTTGTAAAGTGAGGTAAAAAGGTTTTCACTTCTTTTTTTATCACAGACTCAAAGATATGATTGTAACATGTATATGTAAGATTACCCAAACTCGCCATCTTTCTCACAACTGACTCTGTTCATTCACAACAAGCAATGGAAATAAATGTTAGTGATTTCCTTTTTTTTTTACAAAACAAACTTAAAAGACCCCTTTAACATTTAAGGTTCTGCTTTTCTCCGTTTGTGGTTTTATTTCCTTTTGTTGTCAGCTACATGGGCTGCAGCAAAATAACCCGTGAAATGAGCGTAGGGGAAGATGCAGATATAAAAAACAAGATTTATTGCAGATAAAAATGACCTTGGTAACAGAAAAAAAAAGTAGGCACTTTGCTCACTTTCGACGTCTTGAGGTTTGCTAGTGGGAAATGCCAAGAAAGTAATGGAAATTCAGGCTGTTTTTTTCTCCATTTATTGCAAAAATGACAATTTTGTATTAGTATTTTCTCTGATTCAAATTTCGCTAATAAAACTAACCACCACAAAAAGTTTAAAACAGTGTAAGTAACTACTTGAATTACTATTTGTTAATATATATATATAGCTAACCCTGTAAAGAGCCAAAAACAGAAACTGAGGTCATGCGCCGCAAAGGATTTGATGTAATATTGCAATGTAATATATGCTTGTCTATAACAAAGACTGAAGTACCTCAGAGTAGAGTCCATTTCTAGGCTGGAAAGAATGCATGGAGGTATGGAAATAACAGATGCTAAACTTTGACTCCAGGGTTTAGTTATGGACTGCCACAATTAAAGAACAGTGCAGTTTTCATACTGATCTTTAGTATTGCACACTGCATAGGCTGCAAAAAAAAAAAAAATTTTCCCACGTGCAAAGGGTGATCCTTTTCTGAAAGGGGGAAACATACGTTTAATCTCTAAATCATTTTTTATTTGTTTCATGCAATTTTTAACGTTTTAAAACACTGAAAAGGAGTCAGTAAAATTCACCACTGTATGGCCAACACAAACTGAAAAATGTAGTAGTCTCTTGTCACATTAAATTGACTATGGACAGCCACACCTGGTGATCTGGCAGGGGACGGCTAAATACCCTATCATTGATCAGTGGAGACACTCAGCCTTCTAACCTGCTGAGTGCTCAGTTGAGGAGAACAATGCAGCTCAGGCCACATCAATACATTCTTCTATTGAGTGGTCTACGTTTAGCAGTCAGATTGATGAGCCTAAAGCTTTAAACTCCCTTGGTAACGCAAGAGACATGTGAAAAGCCAAACTATGCTTTTAGAACATTTTGGTTCTTGAATAAGAACAGTTGCTGTTTTTAATAACTACAATAGTTCCCCCTTTTCAAACAAACGGCACATAGAGGATTGCCCATCCAATAATATATCAGGTCCCTCCCAGGCCCCCTTAAAAATGTACAAAGAAATTAGAAATTGCATCAGATGGGGGCTTTCTGAATGAGAATGCACGATATATCCCACAGGGCACTAAATGATGTACAAGTGCATTTATTACAGCAGCCCCAATAAATCTCAGGTAGGACTGAACTCATGGGAAAGGTTAATGGATTACAAAGGGATGTGGTATCGAACCATCCAGAAGTTTATACACCACATCAATACATCAAATGCTATTGATCATTTCGTCCCTGACAGATAAATTAAATTCATAAACTTGATAATGCACTGGAATATTCACTCGCCCTACTTCATTTTTTAAAGGGTGTCATTTTAGGCTTATTGAGTCAAATAGTTTTTTTTTTTTCCCCAAGAACACTGACAAATTCAGTAAGCATTAATTTCAAGGAGAATAAAATGCCAGTATACCCATCCTCTGTTGGAGAAAGAGGCTAGGAAATCCGTCTTCTAAATAAACCCTCAAACTTGAGATGCTACAAACATCACAAAAGTGTACTTTCTTCCGAATTCACGATGGCAGTGTGTTTAATTGGAGTCATACAACCATTTATTTTCCTTGTGTGCTGTTTAAGCTTTAACTGATGTGGAAAACATTCTGTCGCTTCTCACTTGGACTCTCTGCCTTGAAACTTCCCCTGCCAACGGAATGATGTTTTCTGCACAAGTATGACGAGACACTACGGCAAAGTGCAGTGAAATCAGCTTGCTGTCATAAACTCTCAGCACCACGATTTCTTTTTCATGAATTTGTGTAACTCTAGAGATGATATCATGAGTTTACAAACCACGTATCATGATTTTCTATAAAATAGTTGAAGAAAGTTGCAGTTGCTATTGTTACTAGTTTGCAACAGAAACAAAGTCTGTACTTCAAGCATGTGGTGTATTGTGTTAAACCAGATTTATTACAATTATATACATTTTCTTTTGATATCAGCAGTTATACATAGTCACAATTACCAGCTGACAGCTTTCGGTTAGAAATCATACTGCAAAGAGAAACGCAGAGTTGTAAAAAAGGAAAACCGTACATTTAAAATCTCCAGCAAGCATTGCATTTTTAAGCTGGTAACAAATTTGTGCTAACGTTTGAATGTCAACGAACAGCTCCTCTGCAAGGTTTATTTTTCAAGAAGCCTGTGAACGCTATCCAGGCAGGTTCATATCAGTCACTATCTCACTGTTGTGCTTTACTGTGTGACAGGTGAACTCTGGCAACAGCTGGACACATATGTCAGCCACACACTCATAGACAGGGACCTGGCTTCTGGGATTGTACATCTTATTCTGCTCTTTTTTTTTCAAGATTACTCATCACCCTTTACACAATTGTTTTTAAAAAAAGAAAGTGTCATGTCTCTAAATTACTCAGTGGGTTGACTGAGCAGAAAGGCAAGAAACAGTTTCCGGAACAAAATACAGGTTAGCACTTGTTTTAAAAAAGGAAACAAATGTTGCTGCAGCAGACTCTTCCCTCTTAATGCCTCAAAGTATTTTACCCAGCCTCCTCCAGCTTTTTCCATGAAAACGATTTGTTAATAGCAGAACAGATACTGTACTTCTCACTTGAAGGATCTTCTTGTCAGCTGGGTGAATGAGTAATTTCATTAGTGAAAAATTCATACATTACTCGGCACTCACACTGCAGACTGTCTTCATTCTCTTTTCTCCTGCCCCCATGATTTTCATAGGTAAGTCCCAGTTTAAGGCAGAAGCCCTAATTGCTGCTTGTGAATCCATTGTACTACAGTTTAACGACAAAAACGGTGGTGCATGCTAAGATCATTCACAGTAGGCGGGCAATATAATTTGGACTGGAGGGTCTGTCATGTAATATAACAGGCTTTCAGTATTAGATTTCAGATTTTTAGCCTCCCTGACATTTCGTGTTGCATGAACTAAAGCATTTGTTATTTGTTGATCATTAGATTATTAACACACTTCATACACGAATCAGCAATGCCACCTGAAACTGAGCAAATGCACCAGCCTGAAACGTACTGATTTACTGCGCACATACAGAACAAAACAGAAGGCTAAGGAAAAAACCTCACCTTCCTCCAGGGTTTGTGGCTCTGTCCTTTGTAACCGTATATTCCTTGACTGAAACCAAGTGATTATGAAACTAATCCAAGTTTCTATTTTAGTGAATGTTAGAAATAATCGTAACGTTCAGGAGTTTCCTAAGCGCCTGATGAAGCTAGCACAATACCACACTTTTCTTCCTGGTACGTCTGTGGGGTGCCAGGTGGTTTGTCCAGCAGGGACAGGCTATGAAATAAACTTAAATTAATAAATCTCACTTACTGAGATAGCTGACTTGGTTGCACAAAAAACAGCTTTTAAATAAGCACAGAAACATTGGTCACCTAGTCTGTGACCTGGTGTTAAAGTGCATTGGACAGGGTTGTCGATATTCTACCTCTTTGGTGTCCAAAATTACTCACTGAAGCCCCCTGTTTGAAAGAAAACAAAAAGTCAAACTACAAGATTACCCTAACAATTTGGTTATGCATTAATGTAGTCTATAGTCACTATGTTCCGTGTAATGTCATTCACAACAGTTACTGGTTTTTCATGTCGGTCTGTTTTGCAGAACTCTGTGTCGAGCGTAAGCAGGGAAAAAATAAAAGGGCCAGACTCTGCGCTGTAGTGTAGTCATCCTGTGCTCTGAGAAGATCCACAAAGAAAAACCTACTGGCCCAGCCATGCAATAATGTTGCACCAATCTGCGTGACGAAAACTGAAAATCAAGCCACATATTGTACAGGACACTGCAGACCCCCGGTCCAGGACCTGCAGTCACGCATGTTTCCAGCCTGCCAAGATGCATATTATATCATACAGAGAAATCATAGAATCAGAGGTGTCGTAATGGCAGAGGACAAAAAGCGATTCGGGGAGGGGAAGCGCGGCACTCAGTCCACTTCGCTCTCGTTGCTGGCCCCCTCCGGGCGCCGCAGCTTGTCCACGTGCTCGTTGATCTGTCCGTCCCCCCCTCGCCGGTCCTCCGTCTGCACGGGGAGGGGCTCCTCTTCGTCCACGTGGCTCACGTCGTCGTCATCCTCGTCGTCCTCCTCCTCCTCCTCCTTCCTCTCCTCCTCCCCCTGCACCTCCATGCGCACCTGCCCCTTCACGTCCAGGGGCAGCTGGCCGGCCAGCGGCCCCTCGCCGGCCAGGGCCTGGCCCCCCGCCGGGGCGCCCGCGGGGCTGTGGCCCTCCTTGACGGGCGAGGAGGAGGCCGACTCGTTGCTGACGGGGGAGATGTCGCTGCTGCTGTTGTTGTGGTTGACCGAGGGGGAGCTGCTCAGCGTGGCCGGCTTCAGCGGGATCTGCCAGGACGGGATTTTGGGAGCCGAGGGAGACGCGGGGAACTGCCTCCTGGGAGAGGGAAGGGAGGAATCAAGACAGAAGGGAGTCGCTGAGGTTCGCGGGGAAAGCTTGGCACGTTTTCAGGAACCATTCTGGACCAAAACGCTTTTTTTGGTTTTGCTCACACTTTCAGAACTAAATCCTCTGCTTATAATAGGAGTCACACAGCATCAGCATGCAGTAGTGCCTAAGGACCGAGGGATAAAACTGCTGTTCCCCAAAGAGTCACCGACAATATTTTCCTTTAATAAAATCCAGCGACTTGTGGATTACTGACAAATGCTGCGCTGTGTGAGCTTTGCTGCTCATGGAACTACTCAGGATACTCTCACTTCCAGGATTCTGGTGGAGACGGGAATTTTGGTCAAAGGGAGGCAGTGTGCACATAACTGCACTGCTTTTTTAGGAAGACTCAGGTAGATCAAGCTGTCCACGCCTTTCACTGCCCATCCCTCATCCTGGTGCGTGTACAGTACCAATGTGGGAGTGCTGGTCCTAAACTCTCAAATCTTTTATTACGACGGAATCATTCAGTCCGTTCTTCTGTTTTCCATCTGCTGTGGGACCCTACTGGTCAGCCACCCCGCCCCAGGCACCCGCACAGAGCACTTCAGGCCTGCTCACAGCTCTACTGCAGTCTTTTCAGGTGCAGGCAGTGTCTTGACTTCACCAGCAGAACAGGAAGGGAAAAAAAAAGGCAGCGGTGGGAGTTTCCATCACCTCAGCATCTCTTCACAATACAAACAAGATGATGCGCACATTATTCATTATCATCATAAACGCGATCAAGAAATTTAATTTGCCGATTTTGTTTGCTCCCACATTATAAAAAATGCATACTCTCAGTTTTTCAAAAAGCACTTAGCCACGCTGGAAAGGAACAGTAAATTCATTCTAAAGACAGCACTATCCCCCCCCCCGCCCGCCAACCAGCTCCCCCACCCACACTCACACCCTGGGGAGTATTGGTGGGGGGGGAGGGCAGTTCTAAACAAATTTCGCCTACTTTTATCATCCTCGTGGCAGGCTGTTTGATCAGGGGCGAACCATGCTTCAAGCACACAGACTAACAAAACACATACAAAACCAGAACGCTATCTGCTCAGAGACGGCTCAGGGGCGTCCTCGCTCTCCAGCCCCGCTGGCGGCGAACGCGCATTTGTATTGCAAAGCGGCTGCTGGCGAGGGAGCCCGGGCGCCACGCGTACAGCACGCCACCGGCTCAGGTGAAGCGCTGTCACTCAGATCAAAGAGTGCCCCCGCAGGGCCCGCGTGCCCTGCCCTCTAGTGCCCTGGAGGAGGGCCAGGCAGCAGGGAGGCCCCTCCCAGAAGTGCCCCCCCCCTCCCACAGTGTGCCTCGCCATCCCAAAGACTGTCCCGTGAAAAAGCGCCACAAGCTGACCGGACCGGCAGCGCTCTAAACTACCAGGAAACGAAACAAAAGCTTTACAGTCACTTTCTCCGCTGCTGTTGCTGCTCCTGTCTGTGTGTCCCTGGAACGATTTGTTTTCTGACGACCCTTTACTGCTGGGTCCAAGTTTCAGCGCCTTGTCTTCCCCTTCCTCTCGGAGAACCAGCTCATTTTAAGAAATTCACAGACAGGTCGAGGTTAATTCTGCCTTTCACAGGAATTACAGGATTGAAACAGCTTAACCTAAGGAAACATGGAGATGTATTCCCAAGTTGTCTCCAGTGTGATGTTAACCCTTGATGACTGTGCTAGAGTTTCTGGCAGCTATAAAAGTGAGCAGCGCAAAGGCTTATGATGAAGCAGGGGAAAAAAAAAAAGTGGGCCGAGAAATTAATTTTAAATAAACATGTAAAACAACCAAAACTCCTGTACCCGAGAAGCGTTGCACAGAATGCTTTAATCTTCCATGATTTTTAAGTGTAAACGATTGCTTAAAAACTTCATTTGCATGACGAACATAGGATCAAATGAATATTTATGAACGTTTAAAACTGCATACATTTCAGGAGAGCGAGAGACAATGATCTGTCGTGCGCAGGTTTCTTTCTGTCTGGATGAGAGGTGCAGAGGAGTGTTATTAGACCTGAGCCTGGGTTTAGCTGCACAGGGAAATCAGGCTCTAGGCCTGGCTAACAAGACCAATGGCAAGAGAATCTTGTGCAGAAGGAAGCTAACGAAAACCTGTTGTGCTAAACAGGTAGAACTTGCAGTTATCAAGATCGCTAGAAAAAGATTAGATCACTGCATGCTCGTTCTGAATTCTTCTTTCAATCCTATCAAGTTAATCAATGCTTGCTCTGTGTGTTTCTCACAAACGCTTATGTATCACTTGATATTTACTACATTTACTGTGATATGATTTCTGTGATTCCATGTGTGGGAGTTTCAACACCAACTTAAACCACAAAAACAAACACAACAACGCGGCTGTCTGTCAGTACCTGCTTAGGAGAAGCCCTTTCAAGGACACAATCTCGGCTTTCAGCTCGTTTATGGACTGTGACTCAAGCATTCGGTCGGCTGCAGAAGATGCCTGCTGAGAGAAAAGAAAGAAAATGTGGGGGTTATGTAAAGTTCAGTAAATTGTGTTGCAGAGCAGACGCATTTCCTTTTACACATGAAACACTGGAACATCAGAGCCAACTGCACCGACACCCAAAGTACCCCTCAAGAATGCACACATGCTCTGCTTTTCACCTGTTTGCATAAGTTAGTTACCCGTCAGTGCCTGCAGGTCGACTCAGCAAACAATCACCTCTCAGCTTCCCTGAAGGTCTATTTTT